ACTTGCATGGCGCAATGTATCCCTTACCAGTGCGCGGCAAGCCCAAAGAGAAAAGCAGCGTCTTCTTACCTGCCACAGGCTAGGAGAATCTGGAACAAACCGGTTTTGGCTGGGCCGATCCATAAATCTCGACCAATCTCTGGGCCACGGGGCACCGCTAGTGAATTGATAAGGGAAGATCGGGGTAGGGAATCTTACATAAATAATAGGAGTATAACTAACTATGGAGTATAGTTGTGCAGTATATGGTAGTTTGGAAAGATACATGGGGACCATGGGGCATGGGGATCATGGTAGTCATGGTGATACACATGCATCAAGGCAATTACAACGTACAGGTTGAAGCAGAGTTGGTGGACATGTATGGACCCTCTTAGCGCCGAGTATAGGAGGGCTGTAGTCCGCTAATGGTGACACTAGGGGGAATGGTCAGTGCATTATAGTGAGCTTGCGAGATGATCGTCCAACGTGCTCGTGCGAATAGACCACATGTCGGAGAATTGAAGGGATAGGAAGTGGAGGGGATCATTAAGAATTACAAACGTAGATTCTAGTAGTATCCAGTATCCTGAATCATGAATATTATAATCAGGCTATTGACACTGACAATTGACAGGTAGAAATGAATATTCAAATAAAATAAATATAAAAACACACAAAAATATCAAAAAGACCAAAAAAGACAAAAGACGAGACACAAATATAATATAAAAAATATAAAAGATCCCCCCCACCTATACGGGACGCACTGACCTGGGTATATCTATGCAAAGCAGACGCACCTCGACAAGTATTAATTCTTTTTTCGACTTCTCTTCCATGGTCGGATGGCACAATTATCTTTATTTAATCGCCCCACTTTTTCATTTAGGATTTTAATGATTTTCCCATTTTCTCGGAAAAAGCTATAATACCGGATTTTGTCGCTTTCCTCATCTTTTCTTTCCCCATCCCGGCTTATCTTCTCACACAGTCATAGTGGGAATGGCTTGATTTGCCACTATACACAACTTCCAAGGTTATCTACTTCCAAGGTACCTTTAAATCACCTCCTGATCGCGGCTGTGCCGGGAGCTTGCCTTTTCTTTCTTCTTTATATGTACATCTTGTCTCTTCTCTGTACTATTTTAAATTCTTTCTCCTCTTGCCCTTGCCTAATATCACATCGCCACTCGATGTTCATACTTCACGGTATTGATAATCTCTCTCCTTCCGCAATTGACTACCCAATTCCCTGAGTCGCTGTGTGTGTGACCGGTGCAACCTGGACTCCCCCACTGGCACCTGGCACCTTCCTCAAGTGTCACCCTGCTGCATCCCATCTCATACCCCGATGAAATGCCGTGCTGGCTTTCCTCGCCTCTTGCCTTGCCTTGCCACTGACCTCCCGTCGCCACAAACCCGGAATTTAATGAAGCCTTACTGACGGCGAAGCTACTTCAGACACTGTACTGTGATTGAACATTTGGACCCCTCCCCCGAGTCCTTCCTATCTATCTACCTTTCATCCCCTTCTTGTGTTGAGACACGCAAGTCGGCCGGATGCCATACATTGCGCCGGTAAAGAAGTTGCTCTCCGCGCAGCACATTGAATACTCCCCCACCGAGCCCGTAGAGCGGCCAGGTTTGGTTCGCTCCCCCACACGGGCTCGTCCACATTCTGCTACTCGTCCTCGGAGGAGCCCTTCGAACACCAAACCGACAGTGCATTCCTCTCCAGAACCCCCGGCTCGGGCCCTCCCCTCCATTGATCCACATGCCAGTCTCCGCCAGTCCCCACCGCCGATAAGCAATGCGATCCTCCCTCCCGGGGCGGTAATCTCACCTCCTGAGTCCGGGCCAAACTCAAGTGATGAAGAATCACCACGCCGACGCGGCGACGGTGTCAGGTACGACGAGCTGCAGGCTGCTGTTCGATCAATCAAAGTAAGGAGGGAGAGTTCACCGGAAAGAATGGGTTCATCTGAAACACCGGAGCGGCTCTCGTCGAGTGCGCCGACCACTCGCCCCAAGCTCCCTCACCTACCATTGTCTAAAGAAGCTCGCAAGATCACTCACTCTCGATCATCCACTGAAACCGCCATCGAGTTGACTCGGGAGTTGACTCGGGAATCGGCATTGACTAGCTCGCCCGACGAAAGTGACGAGGAGATGTCGTGCAAGCCCCTGATGGTCCGTAAGAAGTCAGGTGAGCTGGTTCGACCTGCTCTCCGCCCCTCTTCCGCCAGACGACGACCATCTAGCATGCCCGGTACTCCCGTCTATTCGAAGGCAGTGCATTTCGACTCCCACTTGGAGCATATCCGTCACTTCCTCCAGCTGGACCGGCCATTGGCTGTCAGCACCGAAACGTCTCCAGTCGAAAACCACGACAACAAGCACGAGTTCCCCTTTGACTCTTCGGATGCGCGCGGTCGGTCGTGGGAATGGGAGATCAAGCTCTCCAATTGGCCTAAGGATACCTTATCAGCTGCCACTCGTCCGGTGCGCCTTGAGCGGTTGTTCTTGTCGGCTGACAAGAGCACTCTGATCGGAAATGTCGCAGTGGCCAATCTTGCTTTCCACAAGAGTGTGACCGCTCGGTTTACACTGGACTACTGGAGAACTACCTCGGAGGTTGCAGCAGCATACTGCCACGATGTTCGCCGCCAGCAAGCAGCGGATGGGTTCGATCGCTTTTCGTTCGACCTGAAGTTGGATGATCAGGCCAATCTGGAGACCAAGACCATGTTCATGTGCATCCGCTACAACGTGGATGGTCAGGAATATTGGGACAACAATGGTTCGGTAAACTACCAGGTTGATTTCCACAAAGTGCCCAAGATCCATAAGCCTGCAGGCGGAAAACCTGCTCTTCCGCGCAGTCGATCCTTCACCAGCATCCATAACATTCGACCCCAATCTATGCCGCCCAACTATGATTTCCCCGACCTCAGCGACAAGAAGTTCAACGACAAGAAGTCTTTCACATCCCTTTTCGATGATGCGGATGGTGCGCCCTTGGCTCGCATGCCATCGGATGATATTGATACGGTCGCACCCCCCAAGCGCCGTGAAAACCCGAACCGCCAGGCATTTGGCAACCGGTACGACTTCGGAGCGTCGCTATCGGCTGCTATTCGGTCAAAGGCGCCTCTGGATCGGACCGCTCTGACTGCCCGTGCGAAATCTGGGGAGACCGTGGTGCCGGAGACTCCCAAAGCGGCCAAGAAAACCCCCAGCTTCGAGCTGGGCAATGGCTCTGCAGTGAACGATAGCTTCCGCCCTGGAGGTCGTGTGGATCAGAAACCTTCCTCCTTGGTATCTAGCAAGCCGCAGCTTGAGTCTTCCGTGTACCAGGAACTGGTTGATAAGTACTGCTTTGTAAGTTTCTCAACTGCGCATCACTTATGATAGTCAACTAACCCCTCACAGTATGGGTCTCCGCAAGGATCGACCCCGAAGGCACAACCATCGATCTCGAACGCTCGTGCAGGCGAGGCCCCGAAGCATGTCTCTTCCCCAGCCTGTATCTCGCCGCCTCTGTCTCCTCGCTCTCTTGCTCCTCGCGATTCTCCTGTCGTCGAGGCACCCCGGGCTTCTGTGACCCCGCGCGCCTCCCCGCGGCCCTCAACCTCCCCTATGGGGTTTCGCCACTCTTTCCACCACAATTTCATGAATGAACCTCACTCTCCAACAGTCATTAGAGGGTGAGTAAAATAGACTGTTCTGACAGAGTCCAACCTGGCTATTCCGGTCGGCCTTGAAACATCGTTGACGACTCTGTGAAGGGAATTTGGTTGTCCATGTGTGGAACTGGACAAATCCGTTGACCAAATTTCAACTACCTTGACCCTACCGCGTAACGGCGCAATCTGATGGATTCTTTTGACTGTCTGGTTACTTCATCTCAACTACCTGCTCTTTTGGTTTCAACCAACAGCAAATGTGAGCGTTTGTCTTTGCGATGCATAATAAACCGCGGACGTTTCGTTATCATTCTCTGTCGGTTTGCTACCATCAGTCGTCGACCCGAATTTTCGACGCGCCCGTCCAGCTTTGTCTGGTGCGGACATTCTCGCGATGTTTTTGTTTTTGTTTACTGCTTGCCGCTTGGCTATGCATGATGACGCTACGATTTCTTTTCCGAGGCATCTTTCGATTCTTTGCTGTTCGTCTCTGGATGGCCCTTCCTTTTTTCAACGCAAAAGTTTTTAGTATGCCTGTCTCCGCTTTTGATTTCGCTGCATTGTACTTGATCGGTTGTTTTTATTGCATGGTGTTCGGGCGTTTTTTGTTTTCTGTTTTTTTTTTTTTCTTCTGCTTGTTACTCCTTAATTCCACGATACGGTCTACCTAGGTTTCTGGGTGGATGTGGAATGGGATTGGGATATGAGGATGCGAAGATAGTGATACATGACTGCCTATTATATAGGCACCGCGACGTTGTTTTGAAATGATACGAGACATGATGCACGCGCACTGACTGGAACTTCCTTTTCCTTGTAGCTTGTAGGATAGCGGAAACATGAAGCATTCTTACTATAGTACTATGTAGCACTTGATAAGAATGCTAGCCACGTTAAAAGCCGGAGGTGGGTCTGGATATACTTCCCGATTAGGCTATACCCGATTCGGCAGCCCCACCAGTATCTCCTATCACCACGTGACTAGTATCAATGTCGCTCGCCGCAGGAAAACGCGGGCTCGCCGATGCCTGGTAGACGCGCTGGAAACCGACCCTTCCTAACGCTCTTTTTCTTTCCCCGCCGCCCGCCAATCACCGCCGGATTGCAGAATGCTAAATCTCTCGCTTACCTAAAACACCTACTTTCCGGATCACGCGTAATCGGCTTTCTTATTTAAACTGCCTTCCCCCCTCCACTTAGCGATTTTCTTATTTTCTCCCCTCTTTACCCTGAACGCCAACCCATCAAGCGCGTTTTTTTCATCGTTTATCGACAACACAGACGTCGATTCATCTACTTTTTAAGTACTTTTATTTCTTCTTATCTGAAACTATGTCTGGACGTAAGTATTATTCTTTTTTTATCTCTCGTTGTCGCTGTATCCTCCTTGTCGTGGTGATGTTCCCGGATAAGAACTGGTGATGGTGATGCCCCTGTCGGCACGTGATTACTGCCTCAGGCACAAACTGCATCCCACCTTTCCTAATTAGGAAAGGTTGTTTACCTATATGCATCTTAAGACAACCTCCAACCACACTTCAACTATACTCCCTGCCCTTCATCCTGCTATATTCATACCCAAATACTCAACCCTACTACCCCCAACAACCCCCAAGCAAAACTAACAACCAAAAACAGGCGGCAAAGGCGGAAAAGGCCTCGGCAAAGGCGGCGCCAAGCGCCACCGCAAGATCTTGCGCGACAACATCCAGGGAATCACCAAGCCCGCCATCCGCCGTCTCGCCCGTCGCGGCGGTGTCAAGCGTATCTCCGCCATGATCTACGAGGAGACCCGCGGCGTGCTCAAGTCTTTCTTGGAGTCCGTCATCCGTGATGCTGTCACCTACACCGAGCACGCTAAGCGTAAGACTGTCACTTCGCTTGACGTTGTCTATGCTCTTAAGCGCCAGGGCCGTACTCTTTACGGTTTCGGTGGTTAGATTCGTTTTTACAATGTGCTAGCTACTTATTGCTCACTCACTCACACTCACTGCGTGTGGAGTGCGTGTCGGTCGAAGGCTTTTCTTACTTAATGCGCTACGGTGTGATGGGTTCTACTTGTTTGTTTTTGCGGTAATTGGATTGGGGTTTGGGGAATTGCTTTGGTTAGGACTGCTTTTCTTCTATGCCCTCTGAGGTTGGGAGTCTTTTCTTTTCGTGAGTAACTATGGGACTGTTGGTGTCCTTCGTAACTAGTTGCTGGTAGACTCTTGGGTTCGCCCGATGATGTTCAATTTAACTTTTGCTATCAGTCATATTCTTTTGGTTTCTACGTAGTTTGTATCGTGTAGGAATTATATTAGTGGTTTGGGGTAGTTGGCTTGAGTTACATGTATAACTATTGTGTTCAATCAATGACGGTGTCATTGTACGGTCGCGGGCGGAGGATAGTCACCCGCAACGCAACTTTGATTTCCCTTTTCAGCACAGCCCAGGTTCTTCCATCCAAAGTCTGTGCCTGCCAATTCAGCCCATGAACTCAACTATATGCACGACCCGAAAGTATCCACAAAGCAAAGTCAATGTTTAGCCAAGATGCAACATATCCGAGTGACATCTTCGAATCACCTTCTAGTGTTCCAGACCCCCTATGTACGGAGTTGGCGAATCCGCCCACAAGGTTTGCGACCAACTTCTGTTTTGGTAAATGTGGGGGAAATATGACATCGATGCTCACGGCCAGGCTTCAGATGGGCTTGAATCTTGATGGGCTGTCATGACGCGTACTTCAGCCACCGGAAGCAGCTTTATCAATGGAAACTGCGGCCTAGGTCTTTCCAAGACCGCGATGAGATGAGACAGAGTTTCATCGTTTTGTAGGTGTTGAAAAAGCCATCTGGTTCCGAGCAGAAAGTCTGGACGTTACTGATGCATGTTGACGCTGAAGTCAATATTGTCCGGGTCGGAGTTGGTGTCTTCTCGGCCCCATTCTACCGTGCCGAAGTCATGAGTGGAGTTTATGGAGAGACCGGGGACTTGGACTTTCTGGGGCAGCCGGTCCATCCGAAGAGTTGCCCTTTTGAGGCATACGTAGTTCAGGCAACCGCAAAGACCTTCGGGACCTTGTTATGGATGAACCGGCGGCTAACAATGTGATTTGATTTCGTCAATGGATGGCTTATTCCTCTCCAGCTCGGTTATGGCCGGTGAGACCAACACGCCTTGGTATATTTGAAAGATGTGTGCTGATCGCGTGATTCAGTCAGTGTTCGCGTCTGCGCTTCCATTGGCTGAGGATTCACTGCGCAACCCGACCAGTACTTTTGGCGGAGGGTGAGATTATCAACCATAGGCATTGTGAAATGGTGAGATACTACTATTCTACCATTCTACACATCTTTTATGACTCTAACCGAGACCTGATCGCAATACCCAAAGAGGAAGTCCATACGCCGATCAGCCCTGGATATCCTGGGGAGAGCGGGGAAACCGACGGATCTTACCGTGACACCTCCCTGAATTCATACAACACCGACATCTGGAAACTGACCGAACTGCTACAAACCATTTCACAACAGGTCTCTTGCTATTACCCTCGATTCGCGCTAAAATCATGTCGAAGGCCTGCGCCCACTGCAATACAAGTAAAGAGAAAGAGACATGTCCTGCAGGTACTAGTCCAACATGCATGAGATGCAATCGTCTGAAGATTGGCTCCACTGCTCGTCATACCAAGCGCATGATACACCACACTTCTCCCAAAGACGTCCAACATGGGGATTTGCGGGTTTCCACTGCTGTGTCGCGACAGCGCGCCAAGTCCAAGGACAACGACAGCCATCTCTCATATTCCTCGTCTAGTCCATGTTCATCTCCGAGCTCGACTCCCAGAGATGACGAACCATGGACGCCAGACAGCACCGAGGTCATGGTAATATCGCCTGAGAAATTACTCGCCGCCCCCATCAACTTCCAAACGACATCAGATGCGCTCCGCGCTGTTACGGACGTGGAACAATTCTCAGCCATACATTCGCCATTTATATTCGGATCTAGTTTTATCCCGGGATCCCAAAAGACTGTTTATGCTATTCTGCAATTATCCGCCCCGGTGCTGACCGAGGGATACCTGGCCTTCCTAGGGCTGATGTCGAATTACCAAAAGTCGCCTGTTATACGCCGGAGCGAGCCTGATATGTTCAAGGCAGCGAAGGGCTTGCAACGTCTAAGAAGCGTGGAAATCTCAAACGACTACAGCGCAGCTTGCGCTCTCTTCCTGGGCCAGACCATGTACGTCTTCGATGTACTCACGGCGCCATACTCCAGTACAGCGCACTCTATCGTCCGGAGCTCCCTTATGTCGGCCAAAGCATGGCTTCCTAGATTAGTGCAAGCCCCGATCATGGACACGATAACCATGTCCCCGATTCTGGTCGACACGGTCGAGTGTCTAGTGCACCGTGAAATCCCTATAATACGACTCGATCCTCAGCGTCGCGTCATCGTTGACCGCTATCTTGGCCTTTGCGCAACACTCCTCCCTCACCTCTACGACATCTGCGAATGCAGCAATACCCTGAAGATACAAGCTCCTCCTGTCGGTTCTGAAACACACACAGCCCTTCACGACCGACTGGATGGACTAGAGCAGACGATCCGACGCTGGCGGCCCCAAACGCCGTCCGGACTATTCGAAATCTACGGCCAGCACGCGGTCCTCGCAATGGTGACACAAGCGAACGTGTACCGTCTGGCAGCCTTATTGATCCTCCACCGGCTGCGATATCCGCTAGGAGTCGAGGATGGGGCCGCGTGGAAACTCGCAAATGGGATATTCTCTGAATTGTCATTCTTTGCCAAATCGGCGGTCAATGTGAAGGAATCCAGCGCGCTGCCGGTGGTGTTTCCTTTGACGATGGCTATGTTTGAGATATATGGGCCTGGAGAAGATTTGCTGGAACGCTTGACCTCGTTCACGGTTCAGATCTCGTGTGTAGCAAGGCTTCAGGAATTTGTCAAGCTGGCGAGGGCTTCGAGGGAGTCTGGGTTTGGGGGGATTTGGTTTGATTTGGTTGATGCGCATCTTCGTGTTGCGGTACCGCCGTAGTTGGGAGTTCGTCTCGACGGTAGTCCTTCTTGTATAGTATTATTTGGGGATGATGGCTGGTCTAATGGTCTTCTATCTACTGTCTATTAAATCGGAATCATTAAGCAGCTATCATCCAATCATAACAATCCTTCCTAGTTAGATCTCAAGAAATGTCCGTTCAAATTCTTCCATATTGAATTAATCAAAATGAAGCAATAAGGCCGTCAACAACATACCAAAAGTCAAACCTTCACGAATCGGTCAAGCGCGATCAGCTCGATCCAGCACCATATCCCCAATCCTCAAAACCTCCCACTCATGCTCCAGCATCGACAAACCAACAGTATCATGCCACGCCCTCCGATAATAAATAGCCTCCCGCTCACGACCTTCATCCACAAACCCCAGCTTCCGATAAAGCCTCAAAGCATTATGATTGAACGAAAACGCGCCTATAGAAACCTGTTGGGTGACCGGAAGGCGGTCACCCATGTGGGTCCAGATCACTAGATAGCTCCGCTCCCTCTTCCTCTCTCTCTCTCTCCTCGTCCATCAGATCTTAGCGAATCTACACTAGTTGTTTTCCCCTTTTCAGGCACAACGTAGTTAGATACGCCATTAAAACCCTATGCAGACCACCATGCTGAAACGCCCAATCTAGCGCCCAGTTGATCGTCTCGCCGCCGTATCCTTTCCCGCGAAACCCGTCCGCAATTGAGATTCCTATCATTGCATTGCGATGGTGCGCGTAGTCTGGTCCGGTCAGGCTGGAAAGGCTTAAGTGGCCGATTGGGAGTGGCTTGGGTTTGGGTTTTGGACTGGTGCGTCTGGAGTTTGGGCCGAGGAAAGAAGCGAGGGGTCGGTTTCGGTTCCTGCTTCTGCGCGGGACTTTTGTGGAGGGAGACAAATGACTACTCCTAGAATGCGGTCTTGGAGTCCGCTGATGAAGTCCTTGGCGGACTTTTTGTGTGATGGGCGCGGGAGACGGCCGGTGCTTAGGGTTTGGATTGTAGGGTCGTTAATGAGATCGTGGAAAAATGCAATGTCTTCTTCAGTGTGTTCTGGGGCTCGGTAGATGAGTTGCTTGGACTTAGAGAGGCCCTGTAAGGCTTGGGGAGATGTCATATTGGAAGATGAGGGTTTAGTGGAATTTGAAGTCGTGATTTCTCGGGGATTGGGGATTATAGCTTTATAAGAAGGTGAGTGGTAAACAACGCGATGATAAACCAATTAGCTGCGAGCGTTGACGCCCTGTTGCATTGGCCCAACGCGAAGTAAGCACTATCCCTGGACGGTAGTATCGGGCTCCCAATTAGGCGTGGCTAGTCCTGTAACTAATTCAGCTAGTCGAGATGGGGATCTGCTAAATGGATGTTTAGTTGAGTTTTGGATTATCCACTTCACTAAACAAGGAACTAATGGTAACAAAATGCGAAATATGTAGACATCGAAAACAGTATATTTTAGCCCTCAAATCAATCCCGATGCGGCCCACGACCCTTCTCCCAAAACCAATGATAAAGGGTCCGCCACTCGGCCGCTTCATCCTCAACATAATCGCCGACCAGCTCAGCCGTCTCATTGAGTTCGTCAGAAATCGCCGAAGAATCCTTCAGACCCGAAGAAGCATCAATGCCGTTATCCGCATTCCTTGCAGCATCGGCAGCGTCCGCGAAGTTTGATGTCATATCAACAGAGTTACCGCCAGAATTAGCCTTCAGCAGCTCCTTGGCACCCTCCTTTGTTCTCTCTGCTAAGTCACGCGCCCCTTCACGCGCGATCTCAGAATACTCCTCCGCCTGTTCGCGGGCACGCTGGATAAGTTCATCGGGCGAAGGATAGCGATGTCCCAGCAGCAGCAGGAGGTAGTAGCTCTTGATTATAAACGTGTACACGGCGTCTTTCACGAGCATTGTGAAGCCGTGCGAGAAGAAGCCCTTTAGCACTTCACCCTGGAGACCGGCGTAGAGTCCTGGTATACCATCTGTGTGGGCGATGGTGGCGACTGTAGAAAGTATTTCAGGGGTGAGAGAGGCGAGAACAGAGGCCCGAGTCTTCTCCGCAGTCTCGGACTTGGGCTTGGAGATCGAGCTCATTACTTGAGCTCTGGTTTTCGCGAGGGAGAATGGATATGTGATTGACGAGGCGGCGACCTTACTTAGGGCTGCCAAAAGGAATGTCAAAGCCGGATGAGGTTTGTCGCGCTTCGAGCGTGGTAGGAAGGTCCGTTTGAGGAATTCATTAAGGAAGAACGTGAGCGACGGATTCAAAGTCAGTATCAGGGTAGCCGAGTATCCAGACCAAAAGCCTAGGATACCCTTCTCAGCGCGGATACTCGCTGCGATGTCACTGGTTGACAAGTTCTTCGCATTTCCACCCTTACGTGCCGCAGCCGTCTGCTTGCGCGCGACGATATTTGACAGTGGTGTGGTGAACAGCTTGGCAAACGAGCCAGCCAAGATCCCAACGGCAAGTTCGTCAATTATCGGAAGGACAATATTCTTGCTCTTGGCGGCTCGTTCTACACCTACACGTGCGACTATCCTCTTCTGGCGGAGGGCACTATATGCAAGGAAGAAAAGGAACGAGTCCGCGACAGTCTTCCAAGTATCCTGCGCCAGACCAGGGTAGAACCCGGAGACGCCTTCCTGCGCGTATATTTTGCGAGCAGCGTCCGCCACGCTGGTATATCCTTCGTCGATATTCTTATTATCTTCTGATTTTTCGCTCGAGTTGGTGTCCTTCTGCTTCTGGGTCTGTAGACGGGCGACGATGACATTGAGTGGGTAGACGACCACATTCGAGATGGCTGCGCCGACTGCACCAGCGGTTGCATTTCCTAGGGCTGGGAGGGCTGGTCCACGGACAGCGGCTGATTGCCAGTCGCGCGGGTCATGGGCTTCGTAGCGGTAGGAGGGGTGGTATACGTCCTTGATTGGGAGTATGTTAGTATGGCCTGATAGGGATGCACATGCGGATGTGTGAGAAATAGATGCGATTGGGTTCTTAGAACACACCAGTTGGGACTCGTAGGATATTTTGTATTCGGCCATGGCTCTGTTGGTGCTCGAGTACTCGAGTTCGAGATCCACTTCTGGGGAATTGATGATGTGTTACGAGCCGGATCAGGCCATTCAACCTCTAATATCCGTTTCAAACAGAATGCGCAGGAGTGAGGTATTTCGGATATGAATTGAAATGATGATAATTACAGACAGTGGCAAGATTCTCATAAGTTACAAACGTGATCTCTTGGATTAAAGCCGAGGTCCACTATCCCGGGGGCCATGTGGATGGATTACATCATGTCGATCATGGCCATAAATAGTCCGTGCATATATCAGGCCACAAGGCAGTCAATTCAATTCCTACATACATCGTACATCGTACTCATTACATTCAAATGAGGAAGGGAAGGGGAAGGGGACCCTTCTCATAGACCTCATCGTTTGATCCCCATATCAATACATCCCCCACCCCCTTCCCCCCGGACTCCAATTCAAACACTTAGCGGCTCGGGTGGAAATTCAACGCTCCTTGTTACCCACGGAAGGGTGCACGTGACCTTACTGTAGCTAGTTACCCCGCTGCCGTAGCTAGCCAATACACCATGATCATTCCCCTGAGCTACCAGTATATCATCTGGTAGCATGTCCGTTCCGATCTAGGAGTAGCTCCTTTTTCGACGAAGGACCCTAGTTTTGTTTTTCTCATCAAAGTTTTAACCAGCAGCACTGGCAGCCGGTACTGCGCCATATCTTAGGCGACACCGGAGTATTGCCACGATCCAAATAGGCGGTCAAACCGGCAGAAAAGCGATCACCCCGCCCCTTACCCTCAACAGCCTACCCTATAAGTATCAAGCCATAATGCCATTAGACCTACCTATAACCAGCACAGAGCTCGATACCGCTATAGGTAATATTTGCAAGTGCCTGGGGAAAGTGGTGTAGGAGGTGGGGCGGCCAAAAAAACAGGTCTTATGAGTCTCAATTAATTTGCTGTCGGGGAGCCTGGTTTACTGGTCATCCGCGGCTGCTCGAGCAACTTCCAAGTTGCCTCTATCACCCAACACCTAAGTCTAGGGAATCATCCAATCGCGAACATTGCGAGACAATCCTCACAATGGCGTCCCAACACATCCAGGTAGTCACGCCGCCCTCCAAAGACGCGACCGTCCAGGCCTTCCTCCAAAACATGCGCGCCCACAATGAGCCCGGGAGCGTCCCGCTTGTCTTTGGCGGGGGCCAACTCCATGCGGAAATGCCTCTCCTCCTCATTGTGCCTGGCGCGCCGCTCCCGTGCAGGGAGCCGGCGGCCGACTTCGAGGCCGTCAACGCCCACTTTTCAGCCCAAGTGCACGCCTTTTTCAACGGTCTGCACGAGATCGAAGACATGGCAGCCAAGCAGTCCCCAGACGAGCCAGCCTTGATCGACGCTGATCGAGGTCTTCAGCCCGGCATCCGCATTGGCAACCAGGTAATCGAGTCTGATCACGACGCATGGGGCGGTGACCGCAACTGCTTGCACCGTGCCTTCCACAGTCGCCGCCTCACCGTCCAGAACGTGGATAGCCTGCCTATCCTTAACCGCGTCACCGAACTGCTCATCGTGCCCGAAGAGGCGTTCACCGGGAAACCGTTTGGTATACGGCCCGTCTCTATGCGCACCCCCTCGATCTCGCCACCCGCCTTCCTCAGCTCCGCCGGCTGCTCTGCCCCTGGCTTGGGGAGCACTTCCCTATCCCCTTTACGTCTAAGGCACTACGTATCATTTCCCGCGTCTGGGCAGGTCCTTGGCGCGACGACCGCGCCGAGTTCGCACGGGGTATGCGCCAAGCCATGCCCTTATTGCCGTCCTCCCTTACCAAGGTCCGTCTTTGGTTCTGGAGGCCAAACCCGTATTGCTGGGATGAGATGGATCAAGCGGAGCAGTTGCCTGACCTTGTTGGTACGTCGTCGTCCACGAATAACGAGTTTAATAATATGGACCCTGTGTCTCTTGGGCTGCGGGAGCTAGGAAGTCGCCTAGAGGAACTGGATACCTGTGCGCTTATTACCCCCGATCTTTTCCCCTCCGGTGGCGACGCTTTATCATGGACACGTATGCGGTACCTCCGGATAGAATTCCACCCGTGTGCGCCCGACGGCAGCTGGTACTTTTCCGGCCCGCGAGGGGAAGATCCCTACCTAACAGGTTTCGCTATCACGAGAGAGGAGCAATACCCGCTAGGCCAGGAAAACGACGATGAGACGCACAAGTTGATGTCGGAGGAGAAGGACAAGTACTGGGACGACGTACCGGATATATACGATCTCCGCCGGCCCGATATGTTTCGTATACGCCCCATCGCGGAGCGCGTCAACCCGTTACTCTTAGCGTTTGCCTTATCTCTGCAACGGCAAAAGATGCCCTCCCTTCAAGACGCCGAGCTGTTTACCTGGCTTACGTGGCGGCCCTCCAATGAGCGGGCTGAAGAGTATGAAGGGAGTGATGAGGTGCCTCCTTCCTCGGGTGTGGAGGGGATTTCGATAATGTTCCGATGGGGGGTGAGATACGAGGCGCCCGCTGCTGGAGGAGATGGGAAAGGAAAGGTGACGTGGCATGTCGGTGAGGACTGGAGGCCGGACGACGAAGTCATTAGGGCGTTTGAGGATCTCGTGGGCGGACAAGACGGGGAGGGCAACATGGTGTGGAAAGCACTTGAGTTTGTGGAAGAGAGGGAGCAAGACCCTCAGGACTTTATGTGACGAGAATCAAATTTTCTAGGTAATGTACTGAATCAACAGGGCTGGCCGGTAACCTTGAATAGAGCAGATTCAAATGTCAAATTCAAGCAATGAAGGCCCGACAATCGCTCACAGCTGTTTACCAACAAGCACAAAAGACAACTTCTTCGATCAATTCTTATCCCACCCCCTCCTATCTACCTATCTAAGCACTAAGACCAACACAACACGCCTCGCCCAACCAATAATTGGTCACGCAATCGCTACTCACGGCCGGGTTCCACGCCAGAAACTGCGCAAGGGAGATGCCCGCCTGGCTGGCCAGGTCCGTGCAGGACAAGCTCGCGGTGACGAGAGACCACTTGTTGCAGTTATCTGGCGAGCCAGACATGGTCGGGCCGGGCGGTGTTGGCTGTGTGGGAGAGGCGGTGGTTGTTGTGGATGAGGCGGTCATGGTTCCGTCGTCATCGTCCGCGATACCAACGCAGTAGGCCTCGTCGACCCAGTAGTTGGTCGAACAGTCTGACGACACGGCCGGGTTCCATACCAGGAACTACGCAAGGGAGATGCCGGCGTCCAAGGCCAGGTCCGTGCAGGACAAGCCGTCGGTAACGATGGCCCATTCGTCGCAGTCCGCGGGCGAGCCCGACATGGTAGGCCCCGGTGGTATCGGGGAAACGTTAATTGGGATTGCTCCACGCTCTCAGAGGTACCACGAGCCGCAGTAGCGGACGCCCTTCTCGAAGGCGCATACCGGGTCCGAGACGTTGCCTAGGCCGGGATTCCACAAGCCAAAGTCCTCGAGGTCGACGTTATAGGTTGCCGCGGCGAGTTTACAGTTACTTGCGTAGATGGAGCCGGTGAGGTTATATTAGAAGCTGTCTCCGGGAAAGTAGTGCATGCAGTCATCACACGTACCCGTGGCCTCGGGGAGGGGCGTGTACAGTCGTGTATAGGGGGAAGCGGTGGCGTCGGGGCGCTCGGTATACAGGATTCCGGTAAAGGGCGCCGAGGGGTCCAACGTGATGGTGGCGTACCCTGGACGGCCCATATAAGTATTAATATCACCCACTGCGGCGACGCAGTACGACTCTTAAGGCGAAGAGGTTGGTACAGTTGGCATTGACGGCCGGGTTCAGGAACAGGAAGTCGACGAGGCTGATACCGAATCTAAGGGCCACGAGGTTGCAATAGTCGCCCTGCTGGACCGAGTACTACTAGCCGCAAAGCTTTTCGGCACCGCCAGAGCTGTCGGCTGCATCAGTGGGCCTGGGAGCCGCCGTGGTAGGAGTGAGAGGGGGCAGGGCCGAGGTATCGGTAGGGGTCATAAACTTACGGCCGGGAGCATCGACGCAGATCTCGGAGCTGTTTATCTTAGGTAGGTTCGTGCAACCGTAGCTTATGGACGGGTTCTAGGTAATAAGCTGCGCCTCGGTAATATTGGCCGCCGCGGCCACGGCCTCACACGTCGCATTCACAGGCACGGTGACAGTGGTACACTTGTTAGTAATGTAGAGAGAGGTACCCGCGGCAGGGAAGTTAGTGCAAAAGGCTTCTAGGTTATTCTCGGCTAGCAGCCAGTTAGTGCCGACGCCCTAGCTCCTGGATATGGTATAGCAGTCGTCCGATGCCTGGATGGTGTAGGTCGAGCCTTCACACACCTCGGCCGTCAGAGCAGGGGCTGCCGTGAAGTAGCCGATAGTCGTTGTTACGATAGGGCGTCCCGCAATGCCGCAACTCGCCGTCATACTCTCGTATAGCGACATACTAGCCGCGATAGGACCGTCGTCATACGGCGATCCCTCGCGCAGCCACAGCCGCTCGGCCAGGCACATATCGCAGTCGTCGGGCCGCACCTAGCCCGTGACGTTGCTGATGTAGTTAAAAGGGCTGATACCGGGATCCAAAAACGCCGCTGCCAGGGCCGCGACTGGTCCGCAGAAACGGCCCCCGTCGTCCTTGAGGCAGGCATGCTGAAAGTAGTACTGCAGCGCGCCGGGAATATAGACAGCCGCGGTCTCAACCTCAAGACTTGACAAAACATCCTAGTAGGGTTGGTGAGACTAGCCGCAATAAGCTTAAAAAAAATAAACTCTCCATTCTAGTATCGGCCCGTGTATGGTTATTTCCCACCTCCCATCTAGATTCTAGTGTCTGTTGCAGAGCTTGGCACCACCCACAGTGAGGCGATGTGCGGATGCGAACGGAAATGAGCGAAAGCCTTGGGTACCCCCTTTTTCTTTTTGCTATTATCATTTTTTTATCGCAGTGACACGCCGACCGGAGCGGTCGGATTTCAAGCAGGGGCAGATGTTACCCACGGAAGGGTGCACGTGACCTTACTGTAGCTAGTTACCCCGCTGCCGTAGCTAGCCAATACATCATGATCATTCCCCTGAGCTACCAGTGTGTCACTCCTCGCTGAATGAAAGGACGTGCCCATCGGACATCGCCGTCAAACCCCCAGTCAATCTTCTTGTCGGCACATGATGGTTTCGATTTGCCGGTAATCCAGGACTTGACATACTCGGCGGAGTTTTCGATTGTTGTCAACTTCACTCCAGCCTGGTTTGTGACTCTGGAGAGCTCCGAAAAGATACACTCACCTTCGCCCTCAAAGGGAGCCTCGATTTTGATCTCTTTCAGGCATTCGAAGTGGCGAGGCTCCGGCGACATGGGAACTGTTCTGCTCTGAAGACTTGCGCACAGCTTCTCACACAAGAGCATGAATTCGAGAACATCTAGGATTTGAATGATGTGTAGCTCCTCAAGTGACTCTGGAAGTAGCTTGTGCAAAGGCAGATTTCTGTTGTATGCTCCATCCACGTCATATAACCGCCAGTGACGACCTTCATAGTGTGCCAATTTTGTTTCAGTCTGGACAAGGTAGCCGGCCGAAATTCGGAGTCTCTTCAGATGAGAAAGCCCCGATAGGTTGAGAGGATGAAGATACAATTCTTCGTGCATCTTTCTATCGGTTCGATTGAATGATAGTTCAAGACAGGTCAGGGTCTGAGACCTGTACTGAAGCGCTTGGCTGAGGTCCGCAGCCTTCACGACCCAATCTTTTGCCTCTGTCCACCCGCGTTCGTAGATGAAGGTTTTCAAGATGTGGGTTTGTCGGAGCAGTCTTCGAAGATTCAGGGCGTCAAAAGTGCAGTCGCGAAGTTCAAGGTGAACGAGGCGATGGGAACTGCCAGGTACAGGTCGCAGCCACCGTTGTGCGTTGGACCATTTGGTGCCGAATACGTGGGTCAACGTGGGAATTCGAAGAAGCATCATGAGCCAGTCAATGTCAGCCATGGGCGATTTTCCGTCGACTTCGGCCTTTAGGTGGGTGAGCTTAGACAGCGTAGGTGTAAGAGCATTTGAAATGCCATTTTCGTCGGTCTGAGCCGAGCGCGCACCGGCGATACTGATCAGAACACGTTCAATAAGGTTCAACTCCGTGGTTTGCGGTTCGCGGAATGGGTCTTCACTCTCCATCGCGATTTCGAGGTGCTTTAGGGCAGGCAGGTACCCCAGAAGAACAGCTACCATGGCATCTGACCGGGGTACATCGCCACCAAGGGCTTTGCGCATCGCCACCCTGATTGTTGAATACAAAGGCAACTTCATGGCGGCGTCCATAATCATTTGATGGTCTTGAGGAGCGAGGGGATTAAGAAGAAGCTGTCTTCTCTGAGTACTACTCTGCCTGTGCTCGAAGCAAAGGTCGTGTAGGTCGGTCACATCGAGGGATTTCACGAATTCTGCAAGGTGAGGCTTGCGGAGGATTGTAATAAGAAAGCGTTCGATCTGTTTATTTGTCATGAGAGAGCGAACATTAATTCCTGGAAGAGAGGAAGTTACAGAACGACGATCAGCGGGAAATGCCAAACCGGGCCACATCCGGTAATGAGGGACAGCTCCCAAAGACACATTGGCGTATAGTGCAGGGATCGCCATGTTATATAGCTCCCTGCTGCAGGCAGCCAGATGGCTCAGTGTGTAGGTGTCACGATCAAGCTGGTCAATGATGAGAAGCTTGATTTCTGCTGGCAGGGTTTGGAATTCCGTCTTTGGGGTAGGAGGGCTTGGAAAACAGAGAGGGACAAGACTCATCGGTATGAAGAGTGCCATCTTGGCGAAGTCTGACTTGTGATTGAAGGCAGAAAGAGAAAAGAAGGATGAAAAGGAGCGATGAAAAGAAAGTGATGGCGGAGTGATGGAAAGGAGTGAAGGAAAAGGAGGATGGAAGGTGTAGAGAAATGGCCGTCAAGTCAGTCACCTGCGCAACCTGACCCTAACACAGTCACTCGCCATTGCGATTGTTTACATCGTCGACGTACAAAGTTGATTGCACTCACATTGAACATCTGACAATGGGGCTTTCGTATAGGAACAAGTATGATTATTTCAGATATGGCATGGATTATCAGGCCGGGTCATTCATTTTAAATTCAAATATAATATTTCCATTCCTATTTACGACACCCTAAGATCTGATGGCTATATCAATCACAAGGGAACATGGTGTCTCATCAAGTGCATTGGGGATAAACCACTTCCCAACATCACCACAGTACATAGGCCGAGTACATACAATCCTTCTAGCTTCTTAGGTCCAAGGCAGTGCTTGTAGCTACCATTCGAGCGGACCAAGCCACGGCCCTTGGTTGGGCCAGTGAAGTATGCCCGACCTGCAATCCCATATTGCAAAAATCAGCTGATAGTGATGGTTCACAGCTAGAAATAGGAAAGTACAATGCTTCCTAGATCGTAGTAGAGACCAAGTCAGAGGTGCAAAGTCGTCAGGGTCCTTGCTGCGGTCCTCAACAGACAGTGAAGCAGTACCATAGAGCGATGTGGGACCAAAGCTCTAGACGAGAATACCACGAGCAGGGTACAGTGCTAATCGATCTTGTGGAACAATATCAAGATCTTGATCGGCAGTCTAGGCCCAGAGGCTTTTGATATATACAGATGCACCTTGGGTGATATACATTAATAGAGAAGCCGCGATACAATGCTTGTTCAGCGTCGAAGCCCCATTCGGACAATGCGTAGTTTGGAGCATATTTGCTCTACCCACACGGGAATGAACGTCTAAGAATCAAATAGTTAGAGTGTAGACTGAAGTGATAAATCTCAAAGCCGCTCACTTACACCATAAGCCCGCCGAACCTTGAGTTGAATGGTGAATGTTCCATTCCACAACAATGGCACCTCAGGGATTCTAGGTACCTAAGTACCATGAAACAAGCCAACGTGAATATTCTTTACTATTATCAATAGACAGCCGGTAATGCTTGGGAGACAATAGGAATCTATCGTATTCTATTTCATCACAATCCTAAAGGTGGCGACAATTCGGCCTCATTTTGTACCTGATGTGTATCAAGATTTCCGAGAAGAAAAAGAAGAGAACAGGCTCCAGGCGTGAGTTCATCCAGACTTCCGACAACACACACCCTCGGACCGAGCTCACTGAGCTTTCCTCTCATTTTGGGACTCCGCCGCCACAAAGGCACCGCGTAGCTCCTTCGCTGCCTCCCACAGCACCCACAGCGGGATAAAGACCCAAAGAGTGTTGAAAAAGAACAAGTACAGCCAAAGGTAAACCGGATCCTCGGTAGCCAGCTGCGAGCTTCCCGTCAGCCACTCAGGTGCAAATGTCATAAATCCACCATACAACTCCGCCGTAGCCAGCACTGTTGAAACCAGCCACAGCGTTGCCTTAACACCGCCCCGAGATTTGGCACTGATCTTCTCATTTGACGACCGGCACAGCAGATAGCAGATGTATATCGCAGCCGGACCACCGAGGAAGACGGTCAATAACTCCAGCGAGACGACAGTCAAATCAGCGCCAGCCCAGCGGCGGTCAGCCTTGGCGTATTCCTGCCACAAACGTGAGGCAGGTCCACTCCCATAGGCGGGACCATAGACACGAGTGGGGTCATTGAGGAAGAAGGGCTCCACGTTATGATTGCCAGTGACAGTGGTATAGCTGAAGAAGCATTCGTAGAGGAAGGAGCCTTCGATGAAGACGTGGGTCAGAGCATCATAGGCGTGCCAGAAGAAGAGGATACGATCGCGTGTCCTGTAGGCTGGGACAAGTGTCTTGCTCAAAATGTACGCAATTGGCATCATAGAAAGTGAGAATACGATACAGAGGACTGTCGTGGCGTCTAAGGTGAAGGACGCGGTGGACGCCATGGTGGATTAATTGGAGATCGTGTGGGGGGCTCTATAATGGTAGGCAAGCTTGTAGATGTCTCGGCCTAGTGGAAGCAACACTTTTAGATATGTTTCATGCTTTGTGGAATCAATTGAGAGCTGGATGGATTGTCTGATAGGAACGAAAATAAAAAATTAGGGGCTGAGCTGTCGCGACGATCAAGAGTTGGCGCCTCAGGCAGAAAGTGGGTCGCAGATGTCAATTTCTGAGCGCTCAGAGAGTACGGAGGAGTTATATTTATATTTCCTTTGTGTCATTGGAAAAAGCAATATCCTTGCAGCTGATTGCATATTGCAATGTTTGATTTCGTTTGAACTACCTTGACAGCAAACTGCAGGGAATAAGTGGACGGCTTCTATGCGTCCAACTTCATGTCCTACTCAAGACGGAACACACCAATCTGGGAGAAAATCTAATAATCCTCTAGCTGCTAGATCGTTTGCATAGTTGCATTACAGCTTTCAGTTACCCGACGCCACTTTCACTGCACTTCTTTGTTTGGTTGCAGCACACACAGAGCCTAGTGGCGCATTGTCAAAGAAATATGCATTTTGGAAAGGCCGTCTGCGTTCCCCACCGATACTCATTCGTGCCATTGATTCGGTTTGCCAAATCATATGCCGTGCCAATTGCTGACTCGGAAAAAGTACCTGTTGGGAGCAGCCGTCGAATAGTCGATCTTCATATTAGCTCGGAACGCTTGGCGGGTTATCATTCGAGGCTGTCTCTTTCATGGGTGACTATAATGGCTAAGCAATGTTCGGCCTGTCCCCGGGAAACACTTTGTTATATTTTACTGCCTGGCTCAGCTCGTACCCATTGAAAGACATTTTGTTTACCTAGTCTTGTGGATCATGACTGCAGAAAGCCGCACCTCTCACAGCTTCCTGTCCGTTCTCTCTCAAACAATCTAGTCTCATCGAGGTGAATTTTTTTTGTCAAGGATGCCTTCAAGTCTCGGAATTATCGAGGTCCCCGCCCTCGCCAAGGTGACATGGGACCTATACAGCCAATGCCAGATTATCGCGAAGGACGCTCCCACGGGATTTCAAAAGCTAGTAACTGAGCTGGGCTCCTTACAGGGCGTTTTACGTACCTTTGTTGACAATGTGGACTTCAAGGCATCATTTCTTGAGAAGATGGATGAAGATCGCAAACAGACGTTCGAACGATCCCTCGGTGCGTGTTTCGCGACCCTACAGCGACTGAAAGAGCTCCTTTCCCGGCTTAAGGGCTTCGAAATTGGAGATGGAAAGGGCTTCTGGCAAAAGATCAAGTGGGTGACACAACGAACTCAGATTGAGGATCTCAGATCCGAAATCATGGTACACACCTGCGATCTGAGCCAATGTATGAGCTCTATAGGGAAGTAAGTCTGCTTTGATTGTCCCAAATCCAGGCCCATGGTCTAATTTGTCTAGTCCCTCGCTTGCTCGTATAGAGAAAACAATTGTTCTGGCGACGGGAGAGGATGAGCAGATCGTTCTCAGTACAGCGGCATCACCTGTTCGGGATACAGACTCGGTTGTCTCGCCGATGAGTCCGGGCCAGGGCATCGTGGAGCTACCAGCTAATAACGAAGAAAAATGCGAAATGGATATAATCGAGGAAGTTCGCGCCAAAATGTTGGAGTTGGCTAATAACAGAAGCTCCGTGGGCAGTAGCAGCAAGGTCAAACATACGTCTACATCGTCCAAATCATCGATGACTGAATCGAATGATTCGCTCCTCGATGATACCTCGCCAACTTCCTGGTTAACCTTGAACACGTCACCATTTGTGCCTACTAGGGGCCGCATAAATCATACCCGAATGCGCAGTGAGCAACTTCTCTTTGGCGGCTCGATTGACGGTCGGACACTCGATGATGGGATATGGGCGAACGACTCCGACCAGGCGGAGGAGCAAGTCGTACAGCACACTCGATCCTACTCTGATGCTGAATATGGCCCTCCTCGCATTATCGAGGCTGTGACGCCCGCTATGCAACATCTTCGTGATGTTCGGCACCAGGAGCATACCTCAAGGCCAATACGGTTTGAGCCGCAGAACCAATTGCATAGACCAACTGCGGAAACATTGAGAATATTCGAGTCATCAGTCAATGACGGTTTGCAGATTATAAGGCTAGCCACAAGAGATTGGCTGCGCGTGGCAACTTGGTGGTTGTTGAAAGTGAGCTTGTGTAAAACAAATAGGTGTAATATTTACTAACAGTTATCAAGGCTCGCACGACTTTGGCGAATTGCAACAGACATAACTACGTCAGTGCCCGTGGCAGTCTGAGTCCCTCCATGGAATCGAGATCGCCTAGTCACCAAGCTTATCTTGATCTGCTCAAGGCTTCATATATTCTGTACGATATCGTTCTGGAGGAAGAGCCCTCTCCTGCTCTTTTGGTTGACGAGGATCGCAAGTCAATTGTTGAGCTTTCTGAAGTCGGTGCCGTGGTATCATTACTTCAATCTGTCGCTAATTCAATATAGGGCATTAACGAGGAGCTTTCCCAATATACTTCCGTCGACATCCCCGAACCGTCGCATCTACAGACCCAAAACCTTGACATTTGGGAGCCCATGCAGCCGGAGGAAACATGGAATGGCAACATTAGTCTAGATCTTGGCTTGGATAATCTGCGCTGGATCGCCGTCGACCTAGAGGATGCAGGTAACGAACAGGAAAAGGTTCTCTACCGCACCTTTGTCAACGCCTGCATTGGGGGCAAAAAGTTTCGCATGCGCACCAAGGGTGCTCCCTACATGCTCTTGCTGGCAACACGGGAAGGTGAAAGCGAGCCAAAGATTGTCCTCTGCAACCAAAGTGGCACTCTGTGCCTTGAACGAGACTGTAAGTGACGATTCTCATAATACCCTCTTATGGAACTAACCGTTATTAGTCGTACTAGATGATCTATCGCCCCTTGTACAATTATCAAATGCATCTTTGACTGGCTTCCCTGGCGCTAGAGTCTCAGAACCTGTGCCATTCAAATTTGATAATATGAGCGTTTCGATATCCTTTCAGTTTGATAGAGACCTAGCACAGTTCATCAATATCCCAAAGGCTTATTTTGACGCTGTATGGCAAAGAGAACCAGTTGATTCAACCGAATTTACCGAGAGCGTTATTTTCAAGACCTCGGTGGATATCTTCGAGCAGCTGAACACGCCAACCATGAAACCAATGAATCCGCCTGTTATGGTGAAATCCTGCGAGGTGCGCATTCTGGAACGATCTTTTGGAGAAGCCTGGCGGTCTATCCGACGCATAGTGATCACTTCCTCTGCTGCTGAGAAGGCCCCACGAACGATGGAACTTTTTATGCCTCTCAGTGCAGTTCAGATCAGCCGAGGAAATATGTCCCGCCAAGTGGTCTTGCAATGGTCCGACACATGCCAGGCGCGATCTGATAAGACCGATGGCAATTACAACCCCTTGCACTCCTACGTGTACGACGAGACTGCACCAAATATCGGTGTCGGTCTACAGTTTCACTCACATCAAGAGGCGGAAGACTTTGAAAAAGCCGTCCTAGAGATGAACTTCCATCCGGATTTTTCCTGGTCACAGCCTAGCAGCTCCGGTTTTATCTACAATGTGGTTGATGCTGGCACTGAGCACAAGCAATACAAAGCCGTGCTAGTATTCCGAACTCGTGCATCATGGCGATATTCGGATTTGTACTATATTTACCGTGATGCCGACTATGTGTACGACCACTCCTCGTTCAGTATCCACTTCCCTCGCATCTACTGCACAGACTACATCTCAGCTCACGTTGACCAGCTCTACCATCCAGAGGGCCCCGTTAAATTCTCCCACTGCGACAAGAAGACCAATGAAACAACCATTGAGTTTGTAAACGACCCTGTAGCCCGCGCATTCCTCAGCTCCCTTTCTCCTCTATACGAACTTCTCTATTCCCGGCGGATCCAGTCCCTATCAACGAAAGGCAACTCGCTATTTGGGTTCCAAATGTCCGCCAAGCGCAGCGCCGATATCCAGCTATGGCGTAGGGGAACGGCTTTTCAACTTGCCGCCCGGTGGGATGATTCCGTACCGGATAGGTGGCTTACCATGGCTGTTCCGTCGGAGTTCATCGATTGCTCAAAAGAGAATACCCGACTCACCCTTCCGCGTCTTCCATACTTGCGTGGTACGACACTTGACATGATGAATGTTATGGCTCGGAGTCCTAAGAACCCCGTTGTCAAGAACAAAGAGGGTGCCATGTCGATTTCCTTTCAAACAAGTGAAGGTCAGTCTACCTCCTTTTCGTAACTCTTCCTACTGTGCTAATCTATGTCAAGATGGTTCATAGACCGAGACGAGTTTCTAGCTGTGTTACAAGGGCAGCAGTTGCCGAAGTTCCTATGAAAATCTCTCATCTAATCAGATTGAATACAACTTTCTTCTTATAGGACTCTAATAATAATGATCAAAAAATGATAGCTTTAAAAGAAAAGCCATTCATTCGAGCAATATTTGACAGCGTTCCACGCCGTACGACCACAGTTCTACCTGAGGTTTCAAGTCAGAATCGTAGTTAACTACTGCAGTGGGGGTTTCCAGAGCAGGATGACTAAGCGGCTATATGATAACTATAAAAGCACTCCCGAAGCATAGATAGCAACGCAGACACCTTTCCACTTCCATTCTCAGTAGTCACCCCATAGTGTTCTCCTCTCTAGCACCCTACTACTCCCAGTGACGACTCTGCTCTCACATCTGTTTCGCAGACAGGGCTGTCGGTGCCCCTCAGGGGTCCCCTCTTCACTACATAAAATATATCATTAAACTCTAAATAGATCAGATGAAATATGTATAACGGAAACACTTTGTACGCAGAGTATCAACGACTTTCCCAGAACTGAGCATCCATAGCAACCAACCGATTGAACAGTTGGTTCCGTGATCTCATACCAGTAAGATGATAAGACTGGCCCAGCTCATCACCGCTAACAACCAGTCCATCTGCAGCCTCCTTGCTCCCAGCCGTCAATTCAACAATCAATTTCCCCTTCCACCCTAGTCCCTCCGTCTTCTTCAGCTCTTTGATTTCGGTAACAGGAATCTGGAACAGAACAGATCCCTTCTTCCTACTTTCTATGCGTAAATCATCCAGCCCTGCGGATTGATATGTGGTGAAATACAAGATAGGAGGCTCCTTCGACGAGTCAATAACTGCTGCGCCTCTCTTACGTTCGAACTTCGCATCGAACTTCAAGGGCCCCAGAGGCGTTGAGGCAAAGTGTCCATTTTGCAGCATGCTAAGCAGATTCTTGGTATGTGCTGACCCTGCAATGGCAATGGCTCGGTCAAAGGCGATATGGCCCTTGATTGCCGTGGCAATTGTGCGGCGGAAGAACTTGAAGAGCCTGAACACGAATTTCTTCTTTGGCACCTTGGTTTCTGAAAGCGATGTGGTGGAGTCCGTCGACGGAAGGTCCACAGATGATCCATGCCTGCTGACGTCTGTAGAGCTCGCTGCCTGTGACTTTTTACGGCGCAGGGGCCATACCGGCTCGTTATCATCAGATGATGGGGCGGGTGGTAATGGCGAAGAATTAATCTCGCCGATTCGAAGCAGGGTCAAAGTGAGCTGTGCATTTGTGGGAACGCCAGCCAAAAGTGTCCTGTAGCCGAGTCAGCAACGTAATAAAGAAAGCAATGGGAGCTATCATACTTATTTAAATCGAGCTGGTCTCTCCAGTTTGGTACTTTACTGTCCAGCATATCAAGGGTGTAGGTGAAGATTGGGTCTCCAAAGAAACCCAGTCCAAGTGCGAAGCCGATTATCTTAATGATCCAATAACTAGATGTGAATGATACAATAACAGACACCAGGGTAAATATTCCCGCAAGTCGGAGTCTAGATGTAACCAAAAGGAACGGAGGTGTCGGAGAAAGGATGCTGTTGTACCATTAGTATGTGTTCATATATCCTTCCAGAATTGACTCACTTGGCGAATTTCTCATACGTATCAGTAATATCGCTCAGCATACGCATGACATTATCAGTCGCATGGGATACCTTCTTTTTCATGGGCTTCTTGGTTTTGTCTTCAGGAGCATCGCCGGCCGGGGTTTCGGCTGCAGCTTCTACAGCTTCTAAGCTTTCGATGAGCGCAGGCCCGTCGGATGAGTCGTCTGTGACCGTTTGACCATATTTGGCCGCCGCACTCTCCATAGCAACAGTGGCAAAGCTGTCGACCATATTTTTGGCTTCTTGTTCAGCGGTTTCACCCTTGTGGTTTTCAGGGGCGCCCGTGAGGTTATCCTCGGATTGTACTTGTCCTCCTTTTGTAGTTTTTCCATTTAGGCCATCTGCTTTTGCCAGCCCGGGGAATAATAATAGCCGAACAGGCGGAACCATTATTAAGGCTACGACAAGACCCATAATGGTTGGAACTAAGAGATCCACGGCCCAAGCAACGAAGTAGCCCTGTAAATTATTAATATCTTATGCAGAATATGGCTGTTCATAATTACATACCGTGCAGAACATTGTCGTTCTCACTGGCTCCTTCCATGATCGCAAGCGAGTGATATGGCGGATAAACTCGGTCACTCCGACAACCACGGAGATATAAAACCTCTCAAGCGTCATGCGCAGCTTTTCCGGTGGAAATTTCTCATTTTCAGTGCGATTGAGATCCAAGTTCAAAGCAGCGGTATCACGAACCGCTTTCACATGGTAGATTTGCTGGTCACATGTCAGCAATTATTCTCGACAACTAGAGATTACACCAACCTTGTCGAATCGGCGGATCAGCATCCAAAGGTCCTCATTGGACAGGCCCTTAGCAAGAGTCTCCTCTACTTGCCGCGACGATGCCTTCCATTGAGTGTTGGGTGGCGGTCTCGGACTCAGTGTTTGGAGAGGGCCACTCTCCGGCGGGGTCTGAGTGAGGTCATTGCTCTCATCCTCCAACTGCCCTGGCATTTGCGATCCATGGCTCATCTTTAACAGCTATCGAGGAAAATGCAGGAGAGACCTAGGGAAGCTTGGTATTGCTTACCACCCTGGGCGGAGGTCCGGCTAGCAAGAGTGGGGGCTGACGTCATTTGAATATTTTTAGATTAACCCCTGATTCTGAATATGGAAGGCGGTATCCCTGAACATGGCAGATATTCTTCTTACAGTGAAGTTCGCTTTTCAGTGCACTCTAAGTGTATAGAAGTAAATATTGAATTATATTATGTATAGAACATGCATGATGTACACCGTACGCTGTTACTATCACATTGAATTGGACAACTCGACCACCTTCCGCGGTAGCCACATATTTCAGATAATAACACCCGCGACTATCATTCCGCATGCACATTATCTGTCTGCAAAATCTCCATAAACTCCACGAGATTCTTCTCCTCGGCGATCGACCAGGGGGTCTGCCCATGCACGTTGGTCCGATGCACCAACTGCGGGGCTTTTTCCACAAACAACGCCAATGTCCGTCGAACTTCAATCGACGCGAAGTGATCATTGGAGCAGTCAAGGTCAGCCAGATAATGCAATACGTTGTTGCCTTCGTAATCTAGTGCGCTCAAATCCGCTCCTCGTTCATACAAGTTCATTGCACGCGTGGGGTCGCCCTCCTTCCAGGGCGCCGGGCCAAGGCGTCCACCTCGGAATGGATACGCCGAGACCGTGCAGGCGTACGAGTGGGTTCCAGTCAGACAGCTGGCCGCTGCCAGCAGCAGAGTTCTTCCTGCAGGGTCGCGTCGTGCGAGGTCGAGGTCAGGCATGTCTAGCCATGGTTGGATGATTCCTCCGCTGGCGAAGATCTCGTGTAGCACCGTTTGGTTCTCGTGGCAAGGCAGGAAGGGATCGGCCCCGCGTTCAACTAGCAATTTAATCATCCTGCAGGCTTGGTCGCGGGAGTTGGCTTCGTTAAATGGTACCATTGAGATGTAGAGAAGAGGGCTCAAGATCAGCCCGTGGGTTGCCGGAACCTTTTGGAAACGGTGGGTGTGCCAATGTGGCTGCGCGTCGGATAATACAGTCGTGTTGCAGTCTAGGTCCATGTCTAAAAGAGCGGAGACCACGTCTTGGTTGAAACTATACAATGCAACAAAGAGTTCCATGGGGTGTTCCTGGGAAGGGTATGCTCCATGTTCGATCAGTAATTGGAACAACTCGGTGTCATGCGCCGACATAGCCAGAGGGGTATAGCCACACGCCGCAGTGATGTTAGGATCGGCACCGCCCTCCAGCAAGATTCTGGTGATTTTGAGCTGGCAGTGGCCACCCAGCTCTCCCCGTGCAACTGCATTGCATAGAGGCGTCTTGCCTTGATCATTTTGGGCATTGGGGTCCGCCCCATGTTTCAGGAGGTACTGGATGGCTCCTTCATGCCACCAATGTATGCCTTGGGCCAGTTGATGAAGGATCGTGTCACCCGGCTTGTAATGTCGATCCAGTGCCATCGTTGATTGGTAGTGTACAGTGGGTTTATCAACCATACCCGCTTCAAATCTGATGTTAACATCCGCGTTGAACTTCTCAACCATGACCTGAATAACATCTAGATTGGGAAGGTCTCGCTGACCAGCCGCCAGAAGATATGGAGTCGACTTTTGGCCCCGGAAATTGGTATAGCCGCCGTTGACCCAATTGCCAGACATCGTACTCCCAATCCGGCCAAAGAGCTCCGAATATCCCCATCTTGCGAGGGAGGACATGAGCGCTGGCATGGCAGATTTATCCTCGATAACAGAAGCACTCTTTTCCACCGCCTGTGCAACCTCCTGTTGCTGGCCGAGCAAGACCATTGGTAGCACATTGATTTCAGAAACATACTCCTTGAATTCTTTCGCGAGAAGGTCTGGGAGGTGCTGGGAGCGCAGCAGATAGAATTCAGTCTGGAGAGGGCTAAAATCCTTGACCTCAATGCTCATTTCTCGTGATACCCGGTCCAATTCCACGACCATTTCCTCATTTCCCTCAGCCACCGCATAATGCATAGGACTAACGCCAAACGATTTTTCATGCGCCAAAGCTCCGTGGGACGCCATTGCTCGTACGATTTGTCCGATTCCGATTGTCGAACTTTCAGATGTGACTTCTCCTTTCCATCCCAGACGTTTGGTGTTATGTGTTTTTTTCATATTAGATGTGGGCTGCGTCGGCCGGTGATTGTCATCTACCAAAATACCTGCCGCGGAGCGCGTATTCATCATGTTCTGTTGGTCGTCAGCCCCCTGCCAGAGCTGGTCTTCGGCGATGGACTCGGCGCATGCATCTAGAGGGGTACGGTTGTGCTTGTCCTCGATGTTGACATCTGCTCCGTATGCGAGGAGAAGATTCACTGTCTCCAGTCTTCCAGAGCGACAGGCCACATGCAACGGTGTTCTGCCATCTTCCGATCGTGCATTGAGCATTGAATCCAACTCCTTGGAGTTGCAGTGGTTCAAGACCAGCCCAATGCAGTTACTTTGACGCGCGGTTGACGCAATATGCAACAAATTGCGGCCATCCTTCGTTGAAACTGTGGCATCAGCCCCGCTTGCGAGTAGTTTACCGACCAGTTGCTCCGAAACGGTGGCAGCAAGGTGGATAGGTCGAATTCCCTGGTGGTCACTCATGTTGAGTGCGGCACCAAGACCCGCATCTAGGAGTAGGTCGATAGCATATTTGCCTCCCTCTGAGGTCGCCGCGAACAAATAGTCAGAAGATTGACTGCATAGCATATGCAGAGGCGTCCGACCTTGGAAATTGGGAACGGTCGGGGAGACGCCCATCTTCATGAGTTTGATCATAGCTAAAAGAGCCGTGTCTTGGCTGATGGTAGCAAAATTGAGTGCGAGATGGTGCAGGAACGAGTCTCCTTCGTAATTTACCATTTTTGGATCTGCTCCAAGGGACAGTAAAAAGTCCAAGTACTCGTCTCGGAATTGATATGGTTCGATCAGATAAGATAGTACCCCGTTCCCTTTATGATCCTGCGCGTTGGTATTGGCTCCACGGCTGATGAGATAGGGAAGAAGCTCGCGACAATTCCACTGCGGGGTGCCGCGCATGGCCTTGGTGAGCAGAGTACATCCGCGATAGTCTTTAGCCTCGATATCTCCACCGCCTGCGCAGAGGTCCAATACATCCTGGATATCTTGTTCGGATCCCTCAACCATGTGAATAGGCAGTTGCCCTTTATGGTTCCTCTGGTTCGGGTCAATACCAACATTCAGCAGTTCCGCTATGGTCTTGCTCCCGTGCCGATGTTTCGCGGCGGCGATATGAAGAAGCGTGTTGCCATTGTCGTCAGTGATCGACCAATCCGATACAAAGGGCTTGAACAAGGACAGATCGCCCAGCTGACATTTAGATGTATAGGCATGCAGCGGTGTGTAGCCATCTCCACTTCGAACAATATCCAGGCGGGCTCCATTCGCCATAAGACCCTTGAACCACTCGGGGTGGTCCAGGGGATGGTGGAAGAAATGCGCAGACGTGCCTCCCCGGTCTTCTGCGATATTTGGGTCCGCACCATGTTGCAAGAGAAATAGAATCAGGGCCACCTCACGGTGGACAGAGAGCAGTAGTGCGGTATTTCCGTGGGCATCCTGTGCATTGATTTCGCATCCAGCAGCCAGCAGTATCTGCATCAGCTCTTCGTAGCGGGGCAGGTCTTCCAACTTTTCGTAGGGATGCAGACTGTCTGCCACTCCATGGAGAGGTGTGAAAGCCGGGGGCTTGTCTCCGAACCGCCCGTTCTTGGATCTGATTGTGGCATCGGCCCCATACTGAAGTAGGAGCTTGACTATGGCCAAGTCGGCTTTCTTCGAGGCCAGGAATAAAAGTGTGTCTCCCTCCACCGCCGCGTTGATATCACATCGCCCGGTTTCAAGCAGAGCCTGGGCGCTGGCTATTTTACCAGATTGGCAGCATCGAGATAGAGCGGTAGTCAGATCGGCAGGGTCCGCAGTGACCGCCAATTGGCGCACCTGGTCCACATCTTCTGCATCAACTGCCGCGTGGAGCGGAGGAAGAGGCTCTTCCGGCTCGAGGGGTCCGTCGCTGCCCTCGAACAGCCCAGGCATTGAGCTACGGAGAGAAGACAAAAAGTCCATGATTTTTGCCGGCAAGTGTTGAATTAGAAGAAAACGGCAGATATCGTTATGTCTTAAATAAACATTGCACCCTTAGCCTGGTCTAGGCTCCAGCGGCAAAACACAAACCACATTACCCGAGCCTCGCCATAGTGTCTCACTTCATCTCGCATCGCGCACTTCTGCCTGAATAAATGTTGACGATGCTTTTTCTTTTTCTTTTTTTTTTTTTGCTGAAAATATAGCCATCATAAGTCAGCCTAAACAGTCAGTTCTATATGTAATAGAAGTTCCCCTCCATTGTTCAATGTGAGTTTAATGAAACAAGTCTAGACCAAAAAAAAATACAAAAAGAATCTCTCCCTCGGGGAATCGAACCCCGGTCTCCCGCGCTTATCGGTTTTAATGACAAGCGGAAATCATCACCACTAGACCAAGGAAGAATGCGATGGCCGAGTTACTGCTCGGCCACTTGGCTGGTTGATAGGGAAGTTAGCCATCTTTGTCATTATACGCCAGATTTTTACCGAACATCTTCAACTCTATGCAAAAGGTACACAAGTACGACATCTAGGTCGCTAAACTCTCAAATTAACTAGAAAATAAAAAAGCCATATTACAAGATAGATTCTCTTAGTTTAAGCATACTTGAAAATTCTTACTAAGATTGACACGAAGTAATCTTGGAACTAAGGCTTCATTTACACTTTATATATCCTCACATGTTCTCGCAGACTAGTTGGGAGTTCTAGTTGGGAGTTGAAGAAAATCGATAATGTGCTTATCTGTCTTTTGTATAAAGTTGCTCCCTATAGAAAAGATACATATGTATCCAATTACTATGGCACTGTTCCTGTAGGACAGCATGGGATTGTGAGATTTATTCTACATTACTTTGTTCTGTAAAATTCCACGCTTCATGATATATAAATTTTATTCGATAAAAGTTTAATAAAAAAAACGCGGCTGATTCTGTTCCTTTCACAACCGAATCGATCGCACAATGGTCGATAACACAGTACAAAACACGATGGGAATGATCAAATTTTCAAGACCCGAGAGAACACAAAGAGTGACCGGTACAATTAAAGTACCGCACGGCCACACATATCGAGAGCAGGGACTCGAGCTGGAAACGAAGCAGGGTCACAGACAATTCGCTAATGCGTAAATAGCGGACGAGGTGGTTGACGGCCGAGTATAGCCACACCTCTATAGGGCGGACCACGCTCCGTCCCAGGACCTTGAAGCAAAAGAGCTTTCAAATCATGGCGGATCAGGCATTGATTCTCGCTGAACGGTCGGGGTAGGCGTCATCATATGATGGGATGTGAACCGGAGGGTAAACCAAACAGAGTAGTTCCGACAGGAGATTCCGTATGTTGGGACGTATTTGAGATTGCTGAGTAGGAGAATTCATTCAGCTCTCCTTGTCCTGGCCGCGGAGCCTATCGAGGCTATCACGGAATGTCTCACGAACACTGAAGCCACCGAATAGCCAGTCATTCGAGTGACGACCGTAGTGGTTGACGGTTCCACTGTAGCGCTTGTAGTCATCGCTGTTCTTGCGGGTGTGAGTAGATGCGCGCTTAGGGTAGCCCGCCTTCGGCGAACCCATGCTGGCAGACATCTGGGGGCTGGTGGAGGTGTAGCCTTGGTCCGGGAAGTATGAAGGTTTGCGATTGTGCTGCGGGATATCTCGAGGCTGTGACATTGACATTGTGTCTTGGTCCTTGGGGATATCAATCGGCGCAGGAGACTTGGATCGGAAGAGATTTGAGAGAGGATTGGACAATTTGGAATGGCTCTTCTCAGAAACCCGGGTAGTATGAGAGGAGGTTGAGGTAGTTGATGTTTGGGAGAGGGATCTCTTAGGATAGATGTTGGATTGAGGGTGCATCACTTGGGATATGAAGTAGAGGATGAGAAATAAAAGTCAAGCAGCGTGCGGAAGGGGTTTATTTATGTTCTTCCAGACACCCAAGTAAATTCCCGGTTGGGATATCGGGGACTCCGTAGGGCAACCAACCAAAATGCAGCACAAAGGTACAACCTTCCAAGGTTCTAGTCGCTATGATGTCAAATACGGACAGAGGAATACGCTCTAGTAGAGACGCAACCAATCAACTTCATGCCACATGGCTTGGCGACGGACTCCTCAACATCTCCACCAATCACAATCGAAAGTAGCACGTTGTCAGCTCCACTAGTAAGGTTTAGGGTGATTGTTTGTTGTCGGTGAGTTTGGAAGGTTCCGGGGGCCAAAGTGCCCTATCGCCCGCCCATCAGCCAATCAGCACTCGTTCCTGCCTTGGAGCCTCCTCTTCCCGCTCCCTGGACCCCGCAGATTCACCGCTTGACAATCTTTTGGCACCTCGGGGCTTGCTTTTCCACTCTCACATCCCACATTCGGACGGACACGTCTACAATGTGCCCTTTCTGGTCGGTGTGTGCATCAACGTATACCACTCAAGACCAAGATACGTGAGTCTTCCGTGTCTGATTCTTCTCGGAGCCGTGAGTTCATCGTTCCGCCCGGGTGGGTCCTTCCGCGGGGTTAAGATTAATATTAAACAAGAATGCGAAATACGAAGCCTTTATGACTCTGTGCCCCAACTTCGTTTCTTCGCCAATCATATCAGCATAACCCCCCTTCTAGCGTCCTTCTAGAATGCCGTGCTAACCGAAAACCTCGCCGAGGATGTCTGAGTGAGTCACCTGGTGAGTCCGTTAGCAAGGCTAGTACATAAAAGGATAGTTTAGCTGGGGCTGAGCAATTGGCTTATGTCCATTCCAATACCTCAAGGGGGTGGAGTAGGTTATAATGATTTCGACTGGAGAGGTATCTCCTGAATACGAAGCTTCTGGCATGAAGCTGATGACTCCAAAGATCGGAGACTACCAAGAGGGTTAGAGACTTGGAGTAAAAGTACGTCAAGATAAGCAGTTGTCATGCACCCTACAATTTGGGGTATGTCCTTGGCGCCATGCAATGGATACTCCTCTCTCACCACCCCCGAAAACATCTCCAAGTTCAAAGAAGCATAAAGCAACTAAAGAAACGCTTCAATCTGACAGTCGCAATACTTTACAAACGCTGCTGCAACACCGGTTCCCCCTTCTTCTTCTCCTTTCATAGCTCGCAATAAATCATATCTTGGACACGGATGTATCCGCCCCCAGGGCAAGATATACTTCCCCCCATCATCAATTTTTAGATCCCTAGAAAAAGCCGACCAAATTGCAGTATATGCCCCGAACCTCGGGGCATAAAGAAATGGTCCAAGAACAAATGGAACAAAAGCCTGACTATGGCGCATGATGTTTGTCTTGATATTCCCTGGGTTTTGCACCAGACTTAATACCCCATCTGCACCAATCTGGCTTGCGAGCGCATCTGCCAAAAACCAGTTTCCGATCTTCGTGTTGAGGTAATTTCGTGATTTCTCCGCGTCTTTCTGCAATAGTTCTGCAAGGTCTATCCCAGTCTCGAGCGCGAATGCATCAACGACAATCGATGCTGTCCAGATAACCCGCACACTAGCGACAGGCGTAGCTCCAGCCGTGTGCCGTAGTATTGGCAGAAGAAGTTGAGTGAAGAGATGCGGCCCGAGGCAATTAGTTGCGAATTGCAGATCGTGGCCCTGAGGCGAAGTCCCCCGAGGAGGGCTGGAGACGCCAGCGTTGTTGAATAAAACATCCAGACGAGATTCAGCGGCGATAAATCTCTTCACTGCAGGCTTGATGGATGTCAGGTCATCCAGCGATAGAGGGAGAAAAATTATGTTACCCTCTGGGGGGGTCGGGGTACACAAGCTTTTGATCTTCGCAATCGCTTCCAAGGCCTTTTCTTCAGACCGACCGGCAAGATAGACCGTTCCGCCTACTCGATAAAGAATTCTGCATATATAAAAGCCGACTCCTGAATAGCCTCCAGTTACAATGAACACTTTGCCATCCTGGCTGGGGAGATTGACTTCGGTCAGAGTAGGAGGGGGTGGGAAAATCTGCGACCAGATAATTCCCATACTGTTGAACTGTTTATTGAGTGGCTATATCCATGAAATCTGGGGTAGATGCGAAAGAATCAATAGGAGTGGAGAAGAAATTCAATGTCCCACCGAACCTCTTGCTCCGATATTCACCGAAGAGATACAGATACCACCTCATATGTACAAAGTCCTATATTAAGCATTTTTTGCCCTAACCTTTGAAAACTATCGTACCTGGCTCCAAATTTCAAATCTCCAAATCATCCTGCTTATACAAAGAACTCTTGTAACAAGTCTCCTACTTCACACAATTTAATTCGGATTCAGCCGAAACAGAGGCCACTAGCTCCAGTATCTCCGTCTTGTGCTCTACAGATTCCAGCGCTAAACTCTGAATCAGATGCCAGGCAATGTGATAATGCATGAATCAGGATCTGAAACTGTGGGTTCACAAGATAATAGACTTCGGCGTACCCCGGATTATCATTCTCGAATGCAACGACGAGTCACCTAGAACCAACCATTGTAGCTTATTCCAGTCGGGTTGGATTCTTGTGGTATGCTTAATTGCAGGGGTATGGAATCTAAAGACTTGCGCTAGGAATCAGTAGGGAATATTGACCGATTAAGGTAGATGATACCTAAGGTGTCTCGGTCGCTAGCAATCAATTTTCAACGCTTTAGTCTTAATTTCCCAGGGGTAGACGATATTAGTCTCATAGAACATCCGATATTCAAGTTCTTCTGACTTTCCGTGTTGGCAAAGTCTTTTTTTCGCATAAGGAAGTAGACTAGCCCAGTTCTCGTCGCCACGGGAATTCGTATTCGGGATTGATGTTTACCTAAATGACACCTTTTATATGATAGCCCACTACATGCGGTGTGATATATCTTAACGCAACCGCATTATGTACCGAAAATACACCATACATGCCACTTTGTACCCAGGGAATAAAAGCACTCTGGTAATATCAGTCTGTCATAGAAATAGGCCCCAATTCAAGATTGTAGTCAGCAGTGGGGCTCTGCGAAGGATCACTCATCCGTATAAGCCATTGTATAGCTGTAGAATCTACTGACAATGGTACAACGATGTCCCCATATTGACTGTGCGGGATTTGTCGGTCATCTCTCCGTCTCACCTTCATACTCGTTATCTGTGGGTTCATTGGTAATATGAATAACCAACCGTCTACCGCAGTTGAGAACAACTTCGTGTAAGCCCTTAGAAAATGACATCCTGACCTGATTTGGCAAGAGGACGGCAGGGTGTCCCATGACAGCAACGGCCCCACAGGATACAGACGTTTCAAATGCTTCACCATATTAGATATTCGATATTCTGGTCTAAGAGCAACTGCCCCTACTTGTAAACTCCCCAAAGAAAATCCGGAGTATAACATCCGGTTTCCTTGCAATTGAACAAACCATAGTGTCGACCAGAAATGACGCACTTCCGTACGTTCCTTACTTCTGGTGTTGTATTAGTAGTCAGCAGCCACTTGCAGAGATTATATAACCACACACCAAGATAGACCTCGGAGGAGAACACTCCTTTTTAGAATTACACTCATTTTACCCTTTGATCCAGTATCCTACTGTTCGTACCATACAAAACAGCCTCTCTTTTGTTCGTCACATAGTTTGAATGAGACATCCGTCTATTCGAAACCAGACAAGAGTCAAATATCCACCGTACACCCCACTTGCACACCGGTTTCGTGACTGTACCATGTTGCATCACTAGGCGGGCTAAATAATCACGCGAAAAGGATCATTCCCCACTACTATGTAGTTAGTTACTCCGTACTCCGTACATGGATGAGTCTTACCTAAATAGGCTGTGAAGCCGATCTACCTAGTGGGTATAGATAGAGTAGGAATATCCGGATGTGTGGACTAGATATCTAGTTCGTTGCCTTTTCCTTGTAGTTTCTTTTGTTCTTTTCGTAATTTAGAGGCGATGGGAATATATATCTTCGCCTAGGAAACCCAGTGGCTGCTTCGTACACGAGACTCGGTATTATGGATTTAGGTATTTGCCCCGCTCATTTAATCTCCGTAAGAATTCAACTAGACACTTGCGCCACCGGGATCCATTCTGTCTATTTGATTCCACACAGCGGATGCTCATGTCCAGGTTGGAGATATCTCAAGCCCCATTTTGAGTTTGACACGTTGTGATATAGCGGGTGATTTTCTCGTGCAAGTCATTGAAGGGGAACCATGATAACCAGAGTAATGGATTCACTCGAAACGAGAACACCGTTCTAAGTGATTCTCATGACCCAAAGATGAAGTTATGCGAAGTTGGGATGCAAGCTCGAGGTTTGCCAAAGCCCCGGATTTATGCAACTAAACTACAAACTCTGCCTAGATTAAGAGAGATTAACATTTGGTCCGGCTTGGGTTAGCGTATGCGCTAACAGATAGAGGGAAAGTCAGGAAAAGTCTTCCGTGACCAAAGATAGTCGGTGGTAAAATCATCCAATAGAGAGAACGTATAGCGAGTATGCATAAAGAAAATATCAGAGAAAAAGTGGATATAGAGCACCCGAGACTAGTTGATGGATTTGCATTTCTTCCACGTGGTAAAAGAAAATATCTTCCCAGGTTCAGGTACAGCCACAGGCTACCATGAATAACGCCCGAGATTCCCCAGCAAAAAAAAAAAAAAAAAAAAAAGGAAGAATGCTATATGTCCTTCAGTCATGCACGCTGCCATGCTGCAATGTCCGCCGTGGAGATATCCAAGTTTTCAGCCGTGAGCCGTTGGAGTCGTGCCACCTGAGTGGGAGCTAGAGTTTTGAGTGTCAGCAAGAGTCCGAAACAGGCGAGCAGGAGGGGCTGAACATTGGCCCTGAAGAGAAAAACGCCATGGCGGGAGAGGGGCAGTCAGAAAAAAGGGAAAAGAAGGGAAGAGGGACCCGCAACAAAGCAAAAACGCCCAAAAGCAAGAAAGAGGATTGACCCACTTGGCCGTTGGGCAGCCGCACCGGCGTGCACATGGATTATTGTCGAATCAACATACTCCTTCGTTACAACACCGTTGTACGAAGCTGCGCTAAGCATTACCCGCAGCCGGAACTTGCCTGGCTGCGAGATAGTGAGCGGGCTGAGTTTTGCATATCCGCTCATTGCGTTATCGGTTCGACTCCGCACACTTGCCGTGAGACTCCCACTCAGTCCGGCGGCAGGTCCAGTGCCAGCCTCGTCACGGAGGGAGGCGCTCACAACCAGGTGCTGCACATTTTGTGCGGGTGTCCCGATTGGGTTGACGGCAATGACTACTGGGATTGTGAAGGGAGAACCGGGCTTGGCGGCTGTTGGGGGAGTAGTCTCAAAGGACAGCGTGAATTCATGGCCGGCCATTTTCGTTTTTGTAGACGGTATAGTGCTTTGGGACAGACGAATTGCGTTGGATGAATCGTTGACGAAAAAAAGGTTAAAGCTCGAAGATCCACTTCAATCCAATTGAGAAGTAAGGGGAGATATCGTGGAACTGTAACCGTGAAGTATAATTCAAGAAGAATTGGATAAAAGAGAGCCAAGAATAATAGGAAGAATGATTAATGATATGGATGAATATGAGAATCAGATGAAGTATAAATAGCCGTACTCAGGGCTTCATATACCTCATGGCACTCGCCGAAGATCAATAACGCACATACTTCGGACCCATAACCTCAATCTTGTGGTAATTCACGATGGGGGCCACGGAAATGCCGCCACCATTCAAAAGTACAGGATTAGCCTCGGCATGGTCGATGACCAGGTACCTGGGATAGCCAAGGAAAAGATTTGTGAGCTCAATAAAAGGTCTGCTCGGCATACTGCAAGATCCTTGCAACAGCACGTTCCGGAACGGAATCGAGTGGGGCGAGTGTGGACTCAGTTCAAGTTTGGGCTGATCGATGGGTACGCGTACTAGTGAGATATCAGGTGTGGAGCAGGTAAGAGATCTGTGAGATCGAAGATGTACCGCAGGAGATCTGAAGCTAGTGTCAGGATCGACCCCGGGTTTCCTCACAATAGGGGCTCCACCATAATCTGTACAATTTAGAGCTTCTGATTTAGTCTTTTCGCGCATGTGGAAACCTAACAATCTGACAGGGAAACGGCTTGGCATGTACGGCTGACGTTCATGTGCAAGGATACGAGTTGTGAATTGAGATACAGGACCTCAAGATAATGGCGTAGTACCTTGAGGCCTTTCGTCTCAATAGTTCCGTGCACGGATCAAGGAGAGGGTTGATGCACAGCGTCCCTTCGTCCTTTCGTCCTTATCGCAGCGTCGGTGTCTGGTAATTCGGCTCCTAGCATCTGGTGAATCGTAAGGTGTCATGGCTGGACCTTTGTTAGATGTGGCGCATCACTTGTATGCAAGTATCTCATCGTGGGCATCGTGGTCTCGTGGTCATCGTGGTCGTACACATAAACGTAGCCCCTTTAATCAGCAATTCAAGCCACACTCTAATGGTGAACTTGTGGCGGTGGTGGAGTCAAGTGGACATGGTGTTCGCCACTCGGAAACACCGACATATCCCGCCTCGAACTCGCTTCGAACCTCCAAAGCCATTTTTGTGCTATCGAATTCTACCATTTTTAAGACATATTAGAATTTTCACCTTCCAATAATTCTGTTGCCTAACGGATGTATAGCAGAGATCTTGGATTACAGCCTTGATATTGTGACAGCCGGGCGAACTGGCAAACAAGCATTGAACACTTGATAAAATGCATAAATCAGCCTCACTGGCCCGGCCAATACTCGGCTTTTGATAGAGATTCCATGTGTATGCCAGGGAACTGGTTTGAGATCTAAGGAAACCCCATAAAAGCTTGAGCCATTTCTCCGTGACCCTATGATATCCTTCAAGAGCTGGGCGATCGTCCCGACGATCTCATCAATAATTTAGATCAATCGACGCCCCGCCGGAGCAGCGGGACAAATACTATACTGAAAAATGGGCTAGGCTTTGCTTTTAGGGGTCCAATCCTCAGGCAGGAGATTGTGACGCAGGCGCATGCAGAATAAAGTCCGATCCCAAGTGTTGGGGAAGTGAGACACTGACCAAAAGGGACTAATCATCATGTTGGCCTGAAGAAAAAACATATCAGAACTGGAAAAAGTAAAATAAACGAATCTGCAGAACCTGAAGCCCAACAAAAGCAAAATAGGGAGAAACAAAGCCAATAGGTCGCACCGCCACCATATCAGCCGTAAGTGGCTCGAGCGTGGCTGATCTGTGGCTGGAACAGCAAGGAGTGGCGGTATCGGTGTGGCTGTGGATCGGGTTCTTTCCTAATTTGGAAAGTGCATATCAACCGAGCACTTCCTGACTGGAATTGCTGACGATTTCCTAGGTTCGTCTGAGATCTATATGGTCCCCGAAATCTTGTTCGAAATTGGCATGTGAAAGGGAATCTGATATGTCTAGAATTTGGAGCTTTGTTGCGTCACTGATAGAGTATTTTGCCACTCAGAGGTATTTGTCTAGAGTTCTATCAAGTTATACAGAGGGTAAAGAAGCGAACGTGTGTGGTTGAGCTTCAATGATCGAGTTATGCATGAATGTGAGTCAAACTATCACCCACATACCTGGACAACCTCTATACTATTGCTATCTAATCATCAGTATAACCGAAAGTAGTAGGAGCAGATGCTTGCCAAAAGTACAGGGCAAGCCACGTAGACGAAGAATCCTGACTTATGGGGTATCGTCATTTGAACACAACCTTCTCCACAATCGACGAGTCTTCAGTGGAGAGCAACCAAGATTTCATCCCATGTCAACTTTGAAATATTATCTACCCATAAGAGCATACCCCCTTGGATGGTTTTATCTTAGCCGAGAACCGAGGTCGAGTTGTGAGATAGTTGATTTCACAGCATGAGACAACCCAAATTGATACATCCACACAAATATACATCTGGATGGTCTTCTATTCTTCACATACCATTTGAGAGCTAACAGAACCAGTTAAACATGATTCAGCAAGACCTAAAGACATTGGATCCTCACGAAGCTGACTGCATTGGCTATTGATCCAAGTATCAAAATAGGATGTTTTGTGTTGACGCTTGTTCACAGCCTTTACGACAATGAACTTACACTGCCTAGGAATAGCTATATGCTTTCCATATATGAAAGAGTGACCCGCTGCCCGAGAATGCAATGAACAGCAATACATTTTGGAAGGGGATGTATCAAATGTGGCTCAATCAGGAATATAGAGGTGAATCCAAGAGCCTAACCATGACGGGGTTTCTCATGTTTAATAGTAAATATCGACGTTTTTATTTTTGTTCTTGATGGATCGTGACTTGGATGAACCGCAAATAGCTCGGTATAGATAGACATGGAACCTCAAGCATTGTGGAATATGTATTACACGATGTGTAGTATTTGCCATCACATTTTAATTTCAGGAAGAAAGATTTAAAATAGAAATGGCTATGACGAATATATACAGAAAAAATCCAAGTAAGATATGGGAGGAAAGTTCCATGCCTTGCTACTTCCTCATCTCTACAACATCTCTCATCTGCACATTGCGAGAAGACAGTCCCGACGACATTTTGCTCTCTATCTTTACTGATTCCCGGAGAGTATATCCAGGCCTCCGCTAAATGGCGCCACTAGCCACTCGACAAAGTCACTCCCTGAGTCCCGGTATCCCACGTCTTCCCGCACGACCTCCAAACACGCCGGTCAAAGTCCATAAGGAAATTGACCCCGTAGTATTCTTTGAGCTATTTGCCGGAACTGTTGGAATATTTATAATCGCTGTCGTGTTTTGGAAGGTTGGGGGGTTCATCAGACGATTCAATCGAAGCAAGGTGTTGAGAGCAGGCAAAAATACAAACACCCGATACGCACGCACATGGTATGGCTGGGTTAAGCGTCCGACACACGAGAGAAACAAAAGGGTAATTCATGACTTCTTCAGTCGAATTTGGAAGTTGATGACGTGGAAATCGACTCGAGACGACTATACTTGGATTTGGTGGGATCCTGGCGACGTGGAAAAGCAAAAGCACCGTCGAGAACCGAAAAGATTTCGTTGGCTACCAGATTGGCTCAAGAGCTATGATGATTCTCCGACTGCCGATGAAATCTGGAATCCTTCGCGGCCCAAATGTCATGGAGCTTTGAAGGAAAGTGTTTCAATGCCCCAAACTGTTCCAGCGCCGGCCTCTGTGCGGCCGCAAGCTCAAGAAGACATACCGGGACAAACCCTGCCACGGAAATCTACGTTGGTCAATAATCAACCAATTATCACTCGTTCAATTCTCGAGGAACTTCTCAGGGACCCACTGCAGCCAAATGATGGCAGTTCTGATGACCAACCCTGGTTCAATTCTCGCAAGAATGCAGCAAAGCCAGCTACCCGTGCACCGATGCCGTTTCAGCAGGTCCAATCATTACCATACCGACAGAATAAATCTTACCAGATCCGAGGGTCGATACCATGGTCGCGTGGTGAGGGATCTCAGGCTATCTCATGTCAGATCCAATCTGTCATGCAACATGAGGATTTCCAATATGAGCTAGCGGAGCCAAAAGGCTCAATGCACACAGAATTACCTAAACCACTCCATCGACATAGTAATCATGGCAGATACCGTGGATGGTCAGCCCGACTGCAGATGGGGCCCAAAGAGGGGGTATTTGACAACATAAGGGATTCATCTGGCCCTCCCGGGACGCCAAGGTCCGAATTGTTGGTTAGCTATGTCTCTGACTCCAGCTCTTCCATTCGTGGTCATCTCAAGAGGCAGCGAAATCGTACCGAAGGACGCCTGCATATCTCCGAAGATAGAACATCGTTCACTTCCAGACTCCTCATTGGAAATCAGGTTCTGTTTGCTAATGAACGGCGGACATATACCAAAACTATCCAATGGAATTCGGCCCCGGCCAGAAGTAATTTTCGAGGAAAAGGGACCAATTCGAAAGCCAGACCAGCGTTGTCTGATGAATGGCGATTTATGTGTGACTCAAAACATCCCGGCCAGTCCCGCCGTCAAGGAAAAAGGCCAGACATAGACCTCACTCGATGCTCCGCAGATCAAATCCAGCTCAAAACAGGAAGCGCTGTCGATGAGTTGAGTGATTGGGAGGTCAGGATGATGGAGAGGCTGGATCGGAAACTGTTATGGCTCTTCAATGAATTCACCCCGGGGCAAAAGCCATACCATTTTGCCTTGCTAGCCAACCACTGGCTGAATAGAGAAACATGGTTGGTCTATGATCCCGTATCAAGAGTTTCCACCGATGCACGTCGGGTGCGGGGAGACCCACGATTCAACGTTCCTTATCCTCGGCCAGTCTTCAGTCCCAGACCAAAGTACCCTATATCCAGAAGGAAACGCGCACAGACTCCTCGTATAGACTCCTGGCGGGCCGCAGTGAACAAGCAGCGGAAGGTATCTGGCATACGAGACGCCATTCGCACTATTACACTGTATGATGAATCGATCGAGGAACCGCCAGATGGTCATGTCGATACAGGCTGCTGGCTTTTGCCAAAGCCACCCCAAGGCTTTGAAATTTCCACTGCGCAGAAGAATGCCTGGTATGAAGGAGGGGCAGGCTGGCAAGAGAAGCTTGATGATTGGCAACAAGTCCACCGGGGATATCGTGTCCACAAAGCCCTCCATGAAGGCCGAGTCAATCGGGGCAGGATCAAGGAGGTGGCAGCTCAAGTCAACAAGTGCTGTCGTACTGCGTCCGGGAAACTGATCCCAAACTATGATTTTGAGAAAACAAGAGCTCCAAACTTCCTTGTCTCGTGATTCTTCTCGTTTCACACCAAACCCTTGCATTCATTTTGTTCTGCCCTATCTACAACCCAAGCAAGTTTCGAACTCCACACTCATTTGAAACGCACATATCCATCACTTCTGGTGTCATACGGTCACTACCACCATGTCTGTCGCTGCATCTATATCATTAATATACCCCGAAGCGAAACAGAAATAAATATCCTTGCCAAAATGCATTTGAATTGAAAGCCTGATCTAAGCGCTGGGGTAATCATGGAACATTGTAAGCCACCATCCTCTTCAGAGTGGCCGCGCTGCAAATTCCAAAAAGCCAAAACTCCGGTTGTCCATATATTGTTTTTCGCTCCGACAAGTCCCCCGCCAGAGTCGAGTTCGGATGTATAGTACATGTGCGAGGGAGAAGAATCCGTTTAGAAACCGGGAGGGTTGACACGTTGGCTGACACGAGTCCACTTGGGCAGCTCTGAAGGTAAAGAAATTGGTAAGCTCAGCCGATCCACATAGTAATGAATACCAATTTGGTGTCAAAATGGGGGGAGGGGGTAAAAATGGCACGAAAACATACTGTGAATGCTCTTCCGGTAGCTCTTCTCCTTCTTATCGAAGAGAGTGTACTTGTCTTTCGGCAGCATTTCCTCCTCACGCGGCATCTCTGCAAACCACCGGGTCACAGCCTTCGAGGTCTGACCATTGCGCTCAAGTGCGGCGCTGACGGTGTCGACGACTCTGTCCACGGAGCGCAGGCGCTTGCGCTGTCGTGCCTTCTGAGGGGAGGAGAGACGCCACGGGGTCTTCCTATTATTCGGGAAGAATGTTAGCTTGGGTTCTAATGATTGAAGCTGCGGGCGAAAGGCTGGAGACGCACCAGAGAAGACCGCCAAATAGTGCTTGGGTTGATTTGAACATCGTTGGTTGGTGGTGTTGTCAGGGTGTAGCCGGGAGAAAATCGTGCCCGGAGTTCGGGAGTGTACTTGGTCCGTGCGCTGAATGTATACAAAATTTACTGATGCTAGAGCCCATTCACTCATTGAGACAATTGATATAGGAATAGTTAAAATGCTTGTAACTTGGAAAGTAAGCTTAATTGCTTATCTTAAATTTCAACTAGTCAAATTATCGAAAAATGGTAATGCTGACCTCTAATGATTTACTGAATGGTTACCCCAACCAAAATCATGTGATTTCGGGAATCTGTCGATTTCCAGGAACGCGATATTTTTTTAAACTACGAAGTACGCTTGAGACAATTACATCTGCTCTTCGGAGAACTTATCACTTTCCAAGCTCCTAGTAGCTTGTGCAAAGCCTCTTCTTGTTCATGGATTGTGTATAACAGTTCAACACCATCCATCATGGACTCGAGCGCAACGGCGGAGTCCCCATCCCTCCCATGGAGGGCTTTATCCAACACAACAATGTGGGGAGTGGCGGGTCTATGTCGCGGCTTCCTTTCTGTTTTCTGTCATGCAGAATGCCACGGGAAGGAAGCATTCACGGAGCTGTTAGATTCTCGACATGACGTTTCGCAACGGAAGCGAGGATTGATTACAGGTATGCCGAAACACAACAATCTTGGAAATTTCAATAAGCCAGTGCAGTTGCTAATTGATTTATCTGAAAATAGTATCCAATCATATCAGCGTGTATGTGCCTCTACTAGCCTCGGATCGAGATAACCCATACTGCAAATGTGAAGATGGCTGACATTGCGCCGGAATACCAGAATGGATGACCCATTAGTATGGGGCATTTTGCCTCCGCGATTTTGGAATAAGCGGTGGTCTTTTGGAAGCTACGATATTTGTTATCAGGCAAGGTATCTACATGTTTAGCCGAATGATTCTATGAATGGTTTTACTGACTGGAGATAAGACCACTGTCACTCTTCTTCACAATGGGCAAGGTCCTGCCCACTCACCGTTCTGCCCATTCCGCATTCGGTGGCTTGACTCAACCCGCTGTCACCGAGGCTATTCGCTTGTTATCGAAGGGTCCCTTCCCCGTTGACCACCACCGCGCTTTACCCGAACTTCAGCACTGGAGCCGGCACAATGTCTGTGTCGATCCATTCTCGGACCTGCCAGTCGCTTACACAACCGATGGCAAGGACTCACACATGGCACCTACCGCCTACGCCTGCAACTCGAATTCGTGGGTCCATATCTTCCCCGAAGGCAAGATTCACCAGTCGCCACGAAAGACCATGCGCTATTTCAAGTGGGGAATCGCACGGCTCATCTTAGAGCCGAAAGAGTGTCCGGATGTTGTTCCGATGTGGATTGAAGGCTTCGACGATGTTATGCACGAGAGTCGGGAATTCCCACGATTCCTTCCTCGGCCCGGCAAACATGTCAGCGTTACCTTTGGCTCCAAGGTGGACCCGGATGCTGTATTTGGAGAAGTGAGATCTCGGTGGCAAAAGTTGAAAGAGAAGGTCGAGAAGAAATACCCTGATTCCCGGGATCTGCCCCTAGGGGTGCTGAGCGATGAACTGTTGAACGACAAAGAAGCCGTCGAGCTGCGCAAAGAGGTCACCTTTAAGATCAGGAACCTTGTCTTGGACGTTCGCCGATCTCGCGGACTGCCCGACGAGGACCCGAAGGAGGGCTTGGTGGATACCTGGCTGGAAGAGGGTTCCAAGCGTGAGGGCCATATGAAGGATGATTCTTGGGTTCGGGATATCTGAGCCCGTGTGTATAGATTGTATAACATTGTATAGATTTTATTATGAGCAACAGTGAGTCATTCTGCCAGTCTTTGTTTTTGTTTTCTATATTTTTGAGCCGCAAATGTCAGCCCATCAAATGTGGGGGCGATAAGCGATAAAAGCGGGAAAGCTTCCCGGAGACACTTGACTTCGTCAAACCCGCAGCTCGACCACAGATGCCCAAAAAGCACCAGCGGTTTCACGCAAAGCCAGCCAACTTAGCACATCACAGCCTTGCATTATCTGGGTCTCGTCATGATGGCGGGTCTGGGGTACAGGGCTCCGCGTCAGCGACGTCAGTCAACGACTTAATCAGTCACCTCCGACGTACACAGACGCCTAGTGCTTCATCCGATGATCCCCCAAGCTCGCAACGTGCTCAGCGCTCGTTTTTGGCTCCCCGCTCAGTTCATCCGTCTCTTCGGGATGTACTGGAGCTCCCTGCAACCGCGCCACCGCGACCTCGCCCCGGTCCTCGTCGCACGGTATTCGGGGTCCGCCCAACTCGACCAACTGTTGGACCTCCGCCACCTGCGAGTTGGCTCGCTGGAAATCCGGATCCGGCGGGAGATCAAGGATCGCACTACCGGATGCCAGAATCCCCAGAAGAGGAAATACACCGGCTGGTTCGCCTCCCGGGGTCGCTGTTCCCGGACCATCGGAGCCTGGTACATCTGATGCTGAAAACAATGGCTTTGAACTGGTGTTGGCATCTTGAATATGATGGCCCTTTTCTGGCCCATCTTCCAAATCATATCAAGGAACTGCTACTGAGTTATGTCGCTGTGTACGCAAGAGGCCCGCCACTGAGAGGGTACATGAAGGGACTGAAGCCGCTCTTTTTGACCCGGCATGATCAGGATCAAATTGGCAAGGAGATCCCAGGGTTTAACGAATCGGGAGCTGTTGACGGGGATTTCAAAATCGTGCGATTGGATCTGGGAAATGCTCTGGGGAACTGGATAACTTTGAAACAGCTCACAAACGAGGTGATCATCTCGCAGGCTCCAGTCGTGGGAGTCTCAGGTCATGAAACAGAGGAGATTATTCCAGCTTCGTGGGATGAAGATGTCTATAACGGCAGAGAGGAAGCTATGGTTGATCGTCTTTCAACTCCGTCCCTTCCCAAGGCCATTTCCCAGACTCTACGCTTCCCCCAACTCCGCGCCTTATCTCTAGCACACCCGACACCTAGTGCTGCAAACTGGACTGGTCTTCTCAATCTATTAGCACATTTGCCAACCCTGACTCATCTCTCGCTTGCCCATTGGCCTATACCGTGCCGGAACCCAAGCGCTGCCACTAGTTGGATTCGCAGCTCAGTGGCCCGCTTCTTGGCCCCAGACGCCCTTGACAACAACTGGGCCGAAGCTGCGAGTATTCTCCGTCAGCTATCCCGTTCGACGTACTGCCTGAAATGGCTGGACCTCGAGGGCTGCGGCGAATGGCTACCAGCCTTGAAATGGGTTGGGAAAGACCCGGATGGGTTTCCACAGAGCCCTGATACTGTTGGCCCAGAGTGGAACAGATCTTGGAGAGATGTCGAATGGCTTGGCATCGGCCCTGGCTTTCTAGATTTGACGGAGTCCCACGACTCGTCTGTGCCGTCCTATGAAGTCCCCGCGCCGCAAACAGGCTTGCCGGATTCTTCTATCCATGCATATCACCTTCAAAATGCGCGTGATGTGCTAAAGCACATTCGGCAGATAAGGAGGGGGAAGAAATGGCTCGAAATCGAGCTCGGTTCAGGGTTGGAAGACGTTGAACCTGAAACAATCAGATCGCTGGATGGGCAAGAATTATTGGTTTATTTATAAAAATCTACTGTATGCACAATGATCTATGTACAATGTATATCACTGAAGCGAAAAAGAAAACATCCTACGCATGCAATCAAGAGCGCAAATTGAAACTATTTTATTCATGTCTGACTATACAATGGTATCCGGACAAAACGCCCGCAGATTTCAAAACTATGCAACTATTTTTTGGAACGATTAAACGTCTTCAGGGGATCAACCTTCCCACCAGCCTTCCCACGCGCACGATTGCGATCTCTTGCCTTGCGGATGCGATTCTGCTTCGTCTTTGAGAACCCAACGAACCCAACATCCTTCGAGAGACCCTTGCGTCCCTTAGCAGGCATCAGGTAATCAGGCACATGCTTGAGATGCGCCTGGACACGCGCAGGGCGCAGCTCGCCGTCGTGGCGCAACTGCCGCAATTCTTCGGGGTTTTCCTCGAAATGGCGCTTGAGCTTTTCGCTCTTGATCAGTTCCTGGCGGATTTCACGTCCTCGTGCTTCTTGCACTGCGAGTCTGGTCACTGAACGCAGGGCATCTGTCATACGGTAGCGGAAGGCATCGACTTGCGACATCTCGAAGTGGTAGGGCTTGACTTCGTGGCCGAGCTTGGCTTGCCGCTTGATGATCTTGGCGAGCAGGGCTTCGTCATGCTTTGTGCTAGGGATTGAGGTGGGACGGTGCTTGCCGTATTGCTCGGTGGGGATAACGAATGAGAGGGCCATTCCTGCCTTGCCAGCGCGGCCGGTACGTCCGATGCGGTGAGTGTAGGATTTGGAGCTGGTGGGGAGGTCGAAGTTGAGAACGCAGGCGACATTTTGGAAATCGATGCCGCGAGCAATGCTGTAGTCCTTTTCTTTGCTGGTCATCTTGCGGCGCTTCTTTGATTCCGGCTTCTTTTCCTTTCCGCTTTCGTCAACTGCCTCTTCATCCTCGCTGCTTCCCATCTCCTCCTTTGCTTCCTCTTCAGTTTCCTCCTTAGCTTCGCGCGACTTCTTCGACTTGGGCACTCCCAATACTGCTTGCTCGTCGGCTGCGACAATGATGTCGTATACACCCTTATTGAATTCTTCGACAACGTGGATCCGCGAATTAATGGGAAGTTCTGAGTTCAGGACACAGCTCTTGAGACCGAACTGTTCGAGGAAGAGCTTCACACGGTAGCATCGGTCCACATCGGCTACGAAAATGATGACCTTGCCCTTGATCAGCTGCAGTTTGAAAATGACATACGTGAGAAGGAATTTCTCGTCTTCCGCGCATCTGTGGAGTTGAGTTAGCAACTGCTATAATAACGGCTGTAGCATATTGTCTTACCGGACAACAAACTGGCTGACACCAGCACCCTTCTCTTCCTTCTCCTCTAGCTTGAGAATCACAGGGTTTCGACAGTACAAATCTTTCAATGTATCTACCTCCGAAGTGAGAGTAGCACTCATCAAAAATGTCTGCGCGCCTCGCGGGATGGCCTTGGCGAGAGCATTGATTTCCTCGTCATATCCGTATGACAAAACCAAATCTGCCTCATCGATAACCAAATGAGTGACTTTATCGAGCGACAAAGCGGAGTTGTTGACATTGCTGTAAACCCGGGTAGGTGTCGACACAACGATATCCGGGAAATCGGCCAGCATCGAGCGCTGAACTTCATCCGAAACCTTCTGTGTTAAGTTGACTGACCGGATATCCTTTCCGCAGAAACAGGCGAAAGATGTGATCACTTTCTGGACCTGTTCTGCAAGCTCGCGAGTGGGGACAAGAATAAGAGCGGTTGTGGCTTTTGAGGAGGGATCGGCCTATTTGTACAGTGTTAGATTGATTTCCATACCAAGTACATATATAGAAGGGGAAAGAGGAAACGAACAGTCTTCTGCTGGAGGATGGCTTGCAGGATTGGGAGGACATAGGCGGCGGTCTTGCCAGAGCCAGTTTTCGCACGGGCTATTTCTGTCAGCTCTGCTTTTTGATTCATCGATTCAAGAGGCTCGTCTCACCAAGAATATCTTTTCCTTCCAGAGCAAGCGGAATCGCCTTGGACTGTACAAGAGTGGGTTTGGTGAACTTTTCCTTGATCAGAGCCTGGCGCAATCGAGGATCGAGGTTGAGGGCTTCAAAGTCCAATTCCTGATCCTCCACCCCAGCGGCCTCGGGGGATGGAACATCATTTGCATCTAACTTGCGTTTCATCGCCATTGTGTTAGATATTTCCTTGATCGAATCTGCAGAAGTTGAAACTTTTTTTGGAAATCTTGTCGGGCGGTGAGTTTATTGCGGGCGGTGAATTGGAAGATTTTATGTATGACATAATCTTGCTGCCTCAGGCGGAGCTCCATGGAACAACTATAAATGATCGAGGAGAATCTCTGAGTCTTGGAGGCTTTGCTAATCTAAAGGATGCGTGATAAGTTCGGTATAGATCTGCACTGTAATCTTATTCGGGGATATGTAGACAAGTGCTTTTTTGTGACCTACCCTACCCCCAGCCAAAAATATATCTCGGTAGTCGATATAGGTCCATTTAAGTCTAAAGACCAATCTTTCATGGATTGTCAGAACAGAGTGGAAAGTTCTTGACTAGTGAGCATAAAGGCCTCCTAGGCAGACATATTCCAAGCTGTGATACAGTTGTTCTAAACCGTTGACTTACTGCAAGTGAAGCCCATCTTCTTCAAGATCAGATACAGATGTCATGAAATTTGAAGAACCATTCAATAAAACTCGCTATTCAAAATCAAATAACCGCAGACGTTACATGCCATTCCCGTATCGCTCTCCTGAACCAAAAAAATACAACTAATAATAACAAAACAGGAAGTCTGGAAGTTGAATTGTCGACATGCATCTCCCCACAGGCAATGTAGATCGACATAGAAGCATATTTCTTGTGGACCAATTCTATGCTCATGCGCTCTATCCCTAGTTGATAAACTCACCCTGAGCGTATTCTAGGAATCTCGCCCGAGACGCTTCCGTGATCTTGCCCACGGGGAGGACTTTGACATTGTGCTCGACGGTATAAACCTTGCCAAAGTTCACTCGGGACATGCAATCTAGCTTCTGATCAGGCCTGGCAGGATCAACCTCGAGAGGCTCTTTGGCCATCCGGGGCTCGGATTTCACAGTTCGAGGTCTATCGCCTCGCATGTGAATGACGGCATGTTTGCTGCGGTCAACCCCGGCTTTCGCCACGCCTTGGCCACTATAGGTAGTGATGGGTCTAAAATGATGGATTAGTATGATACAATGCAATCGACGGATGCAAAGCTTCCCACGTACACACACCAGCAGCAGCCCTTCTGCTCTTTGACCACTACCATGCGTCGGATGCTACTGTATATGGGCTCTTGATACTTGCCCCGTGTGAAAGGGCTTGACGATGGGGGAAGCTTCTCGCTGACGATAGTTCCATGCCAGCCTGCATTCTCATGCCAGAGCATCGAAAAGACCTGTATGATCGCAATCAATTATCAGCAGGGCTTTAAAATGGCATGCATGTGAGGTCAACAAACCCTGCCAACTCGGAAAAATCTCCGAGGATCGCTCTGCCTCTTGTAGCCTGATGCGTGTAAATTATCGTCAGTTTCTTTTTTTCGGATATGCATGAAGCGGGCCTAGGCTGTTGCTTACGAGGATCCAGTGTGTCATGTTCGCCGCTACTGCCGGGGATCACGTATGCAGGTTCCAAGGACTTTTGCTATGTCAAAATCAGCCAATCAGTCCAAATAGGAAGGAACTTTTACTTACCACCTTTCTGTCATGCTTTTTTCGTTGGGTATCCCCGGAAATGGAATCATTGCAGTGACTATGACTGCTGGCCCCATAGGGCAGCAGCATATGCGAGGCTGGATGATCCCCGAGACTCAATCCCTGCAGATCCTCGACGTGGATTTCGGGAATGGATACATCACTTCTTGACGAGCTAGTGACATCGCTACGGTCGGATATGCTGGCAGACCCTGTTCTGCGACCGGTTGTGTCTCTGGCTACCTTGTACTGCATTCCCGGGCTCCATTCGGGCGGACTGCTTGCCTTGTCATCTGTCACTGTTCCTGCACCTGGGTATATACCATCATCCACTCGGTGAGGGACAAGCTGCTGGTATCCGGTCGGTGGGGTCCGGGGATTGAAATCCATTCGATCGTTGGTATATGTTTGGCCGTAATCGAGCGGGTCCTGCTGATGTACATGATCTAGGCGACTTGCATGAGGGTCTAGCCCTGGGGGAAATGGGAGCTGATGTCCGTATGCATCTTTGAGCGTGGGAAACGCGGACTCGGGGGTGCTTCGTTGGCATGGCGCGACGCTTTTATTAAACGGATTACCTCCCCGGACTTCTCACACAAGAAGAAGGAAAAGACTAACCTTGAATCTTGACCTGCTATCGCAGGAGTTAACTCGCCACCCAGGCAGTCCCATTCGTAAAGAAACTCTCCTTTTGTCATGGTCAGTTACTGCAATCGGTCTTCATGCAGCCAGGGATGCATACCAGAATGGTTGTAGATGGGCCGAACCCATCGGTTGCTCTCGTGATGAAGTACCCAGTTCGAAGCCATGACTTTTACATACAAGAGGAAGAAATTAGAAATCGAGGAAGATCAGGCAGATAAATATAAAAGCCTTGGGGTTTCTATATCTCTCATCTACTACACCCCTCCAGTACCAGTACCATGCGGCTCGGACCGTTTATATCACCAATATCTTAAGAGAGATAGTATATGCAGGGCGCGTATGATATGGACCAAGTTGGTTTGTTCTCAAGCGCTCACTCGCGGGCAAGTCTTTGGCAACCAGCACCTGATCGCTGAGTGGAAGTAGAATCCAATGAGATCCCTGTTAATGAGGGGCTCAACTTATTTGTGGCTGATATACCTCGAATGCTATGGCTCACGATTTACCATTTCATTCAGGGTAACCAATAAGACATTGAAGCGCAGGCGCTAATGCAATGCAGGTGGATTACGGTGTAAAGGTCATTGGAGGTTTCAATTTGGTCATCAAAGCGTCAGTAACTGCGCCTTTTACAAACCCCAGATGTGGTGTAGCTTCGAGGACAAAGCTCTCCTACTTTCTTCTCTTGAGAAATTATCGGGTTTATCAATAGCATTCTTTTCCCCAGGGCCCTTCAACCTTGCTCAGCAACACTCGAATGTGTTGGTCTATAATCTCCGTTGCGAAAATATGACCGAGGGGTACTCCGTACTGTGAAACCCTTTAGCAATGGCATCTTGGCCAGGGGTCGTATGGAATTGTTTATCCTGAGTGAGTTGACCTATATCAATATGTACTATGATCGAGGCTCATCACGGTCTCACCATGTACCCGCCGTCCACGGCAGACGGTTATGCCAAAACTAGAAGTCAAGTCTGCCTTCCGAACATTTCATTTGCTCCAACTTGACGGTTGGAGGGGTGCTCGAGCATCGAGATCTACAGTATCGGCAACCCTGCAACGGTTATCGCCACTTCCTCGGGTGTTCTTTCTCCAAAAGCAACATCCACGGCGCTAATAGTCACCTTTCTGGACCATACATACAAGACCGACGAAGCCACCAAAAGCGAGTCATGGATGGAACGAATATGATGCATTGACCGAGTTATCCGTGCCATCCTTCCAGATTTAGTACCCCCCGGAAATACATAACCAACCAACTGGTATGGTGTACCTGCGCCGCCCCCTGAATCAACCCGTGACACTGCCAACGTGGCGAAGCCTATCAGGGAAGTACCTGTCAGCTAAGCGCTATCTGATCCGGAAAATGCGGAAAATGCGGCATATGCTTCTACAGGAACGTGATGAAGAAAATGATTTGCAGGTGTACTACGGACCAAGTTGAATCTCATAACTGCCGAAAACGTAAATCACACCATCAACAACCTGAGCGTCCTATTTCATTTTTGAAAATGAGTGTCATAGACAGGACGCATAACTGGCGCAGGTAGAGTACAATCACAACAGACGTTCAGAATTATTACAGACCATATTCAAGTATTAAATTGACCCGGTGGCGCAGCTGCAACCTATTACCCCGGACGCCGAATCTTCGCCGGCGGACTACACCTCTGACTATAGACACCAAATGTCGCCTCAGTGGCTGATTACCTCCCTAGTTGGCGAGGCATTCTTGTAGCCTGGAGAGAGTCTTCCCATTCCAATAATAACTTCTAAATCGAAAATAGGTGAACACTGCCAATGAGCCTCACAACCCTAGCCCAACCCAAAAACAAAATCCTCAAGCTCAGCATAAGCCCTCCCGAGATCATCATTAACAATAACCCTCTGAAAAACACCCGCAGTCTCCGCAAACTCAAGCTCCCTCCTCGCGCGATCAAGTCTAGCCCGAATATTCTTCTCACTCTCTGTCCCCCGACCCCTAAGCCTCTCCTCCAGCACACCAAGATCCCGCGGTTTAACAAAAACATAACGGGCGTCAAACCCGCTTGTTTTCACCTGCTGCACGCCAGTCTCTCGATATCGAGAATAGGAATGAGACCTTTGTCGAGTATTTCGGCGAGTGCTGCTTTACTCGTGCCGTAGAAGGCACCGGTGTACATGGCGTCTTCTATCAGATCCCCGTTGTGCTTGAGGGTGTTGTATGTCTCGACTGAGACGAAGTGGTAGGATATACCGTCTTTTTCACCGGGGCGTGGTTGCCGCGTTGTGTGGGAGACTGTTAGTTCAAACATGTGGGGGTGTGTGTCGATGAGCTTTTGAATCATGGTTCCTTTGCCTGCGCCTGAGGGGCCGGAGATGATAAGTGGTCGGCGGTCTTGGGGTGCTGTTGCAGGGATTAGGATGTTGTGGATTTGGGAGGTTGATGACGTACAGGAAGGTATGTCGTCAACAACGACGGGGTTCTTGGCTTGACGATAATTTGAGATAGGTGGTAGTTGAATATGCACAAGAAACAATTCCCATGTGTATCTCAACCTCAGGTTGTGGTTTGAAGCAAGTAAATGGTGTAGAGCTGAAGTGTATGCCGGACAACTCGGAAGCAACCGTTTAAACATGCCTAGGTGGCTAACAACGAGTTCAATATCTACACATACTATGGAGTACAGTGCAGACATATTATCCATTTGCATCGTGATTCTCTTCATTATGTACATGACCCAAGCAATTTCCCATATCCATATCCATAAGTCGATCGGCATTTGCCGTAAAAAGCACGCTATTTCCATAACCCAATAATTGTTGAACGTTCAAAATCAAATCCCATACATCAAGTAGGGTATCTCGTACATCAAACCCTAGCCCGATCTGCGGTCGTAATTCATGAGTACTGTGTCTCGCCCTCACTATCACTCAGACTGTCACGACGACGGCTCCGCCCATCGCGGCGGTATCCCTTCGTCAAACCAGGAATTGGATGCTTGTAGCTCTTGGTACCAGAATCCTCGGTGTCCACGTTGGAGTATTGGTATTCGGAACGGGATCCCGCAGATGAGAAATCCAAAGGCTCGGTGAAGTGGCCGTGGGGCACAGAGCGGCGCTCACGGTACTTGCGGGGGCTGCTAGTACGAGATGAAGGTGCGGAAGGTGGGGCGGGTAGGGCAAGCTCACTGCGTCGTTCACGACGGCGGTTGTGGCGGCGGGTTGATGGGTCGCGGATCCGAGGCTGGTCGGTTACTTGGCTGATAACATCCTCGCTGCCTTGGGTGAACGAGAAGCCGGAGGGATCACGGTGCTGATGTCGTGGCTGCTCGTAAGCGAAGTCATGAGCATGGCTCATCTCGCTCTGTTGGTAGTGGGTAGGCGGGGCGGAGGTGTCGTAGTCGCTGCCGTTGTAGGTTCCGTCGGCTTCGCGGTTCATGCCACCAATGCGAGCGGGCTTTTCTGCTCGGTAGGCGCGTACGTCGGCATCGTCTGCGCCTTCCCACTGCTCGTGCTTGTTGCGCCGGAGAAGCTTCTCTTTAGCGGTTTCTCTGAACTTCTTGCGCCGTGACTTCTCCTCCGTAACAGTTGTCGCTGTGTCGTCGTATGATCCTTCTGTAAACGAGTATCCGTCGTCGGTGTAGCCCTTGCCGACAACACTTCCGCCACCGAGATTGGTACTCGCTGTGGCGTTACTGAGAGTCTTTCCATCGGGTCCCTTTCGTCGCAGAACAGTGGACTTGTAGTCATCCCAGTCGCCCTTGCGCCAGACGAATCCGCCGTTCTTGGCCCAGAAGAAGAACCAGATTCCTCCTATGACAAATGCCAGTCCGATAAGGGCAAACAAAGCCATCAGGCCTTGCATCTTGATGCTGTGCGGGTCGACCGTGCCTGCGCCATATTTTGGCGTGGAATCCGAGTCGTCTGAGTCACGTGGGAGGAGCTTATGGGTATTAGGGTCGATCGAAGATAAGGTATTAGCAATGTTCTCGCTGTTGACATCCCGGACATAGAGTCCGTCAACGGTTCCTCCTGGAATGTCGGGGGAGGGTCCGGTCGGCCAAAATGGAGGCATGGTGGAGTATTAGAGTGGTCAAGAGCACCCGGCTCAAGACTGGACTCACTATCGGATCGTTAGTATGTCAGCATTCTTGAGATTGAGTATGAGGTACATGAACATACATTGAGGCAAGTGATGAACACCAGATGTAGGTAGAGATCTCTGACACGCTGGAATGTGGGTATAGAATGTGGGTGCAGAATGTGGGCAAAAGCGAAGCACAGTGTTTAGATAGTAGAATATTAAGATAAGAAGATTGGGAAATTCTAACCCATATGTATGATTCAGCTTGACTTTTGGCACAAAATTGAGGAGGTTGGAGAGAAGAGGCTGGGGACTGGTGTTTACAGTGGTTGTCACGGGCAACCTGATTACATCATCCCCCACACTGACTGGCGTCCACGGGTCCGTGTACGGGTAGAGTTGGGCCACCCGTGGGTCGATCTATAAAAAGAGTCGATCGCAATTGACTTCTATTTAAATCTGAAACATGGCCTTTTATAGAAAACGGGTTTAATAATGGATGAATTATATCAAGTCGACAAATGCCACCCGCTGGAATCCTCCGAAAGAGACATACACAGTCGAAAGCTGTGATCACGCCCAGACAGCTTGCGGGGTATCAAAACCAAGTAAGAAGCAAAAGCAGGAAAACATATGAAGACCGATGGACGATAAAACACAGGAGATCAGCAACAATGCAAAAATCAACCGAATGAATACAAAGCCCAAGAAGGGAACTACGAGGCTCCCAGCGGGACCAAATACCAAATACCAAGACACATAAAATCATAGATATGGCCAAAGAAAAAGATGACCTGTTGAGACATGACAAGTAAACAGACATGGGTATAATCTCTCTCCGCCACTCGGAGTCGCGAACAAGGTAACCAGGAGAAAGACACGGGCCCAACAAGAAAGGCTATACAAGAAACGCTGACAAAAAGAAGACATCGGAAAGTAAAGCACATCAGACTTGTCATTGCAGGTCATCAGAATCGTACAATCATATCGCCATAATAAACACATCATCATGGGGTTTGTGCCCGACCATTTTACCCAAGCACACAAATATAGAAAGAAAATCGAGCCAGCAGTTGCAAATGAAATCACACAAAAGTCCTCCCATTTTAGCGAGACTATTGGGCAACAGAAAACTCCGTACTTCATGACAAAGTCCAGCCCGTTTCCCAAGTTGCCCAACAGAGCCTCGCTTTAGGTAATTCCCGTTGTTTTTTTGTTGCACAAGCACCCGATCCCAAAGAAGAAGAGAAAAAAAAAACGCAAAGCAATCGAAACTTTTGAAAAATGAACAAGGCCAGCCACACGGTTATGTAGACACAAGATGAAATCACAACAAAAAATAATATCTGGCCACGATAGAAGAAAAGAAACACAGAAAATGACACATCTAACAGGGTGGGTAACAAATCAATGGTAGCGAGTAGTCCCGTAGGTCGACTGGCTGTCTCGACGACTAGGTCGTTCCGACCGCCTATCATCCCGCGGACGCCTCACCACATCTTCAAGTTCCCGACGGCTGGAGCTACCCGCATAATCAGAGCTGGTACCGTTCACACGCGGCTTGGATGGCCGCGGGCCACCGATGTTCAATCGGACAGCCCCAGTCTCCCCAGCACGAATGTTAATAGATTTGCCAGCGACTGCTTCAGGTGCAAATCCAATTTGGAATCCGTTCAACGTGAGGGTCATGTTCTTGTCATCTTCCTTCTGTGAGGCCGTGGCACTGCCGCGGCTGCCGCTCGACCGACTGTTCTGGCTGCCGCTCTCGCTCCCGTTGCGGTGAGACGCTTTGGTAGGGAGCAAGGACTCCGTGGAGAGAGGTAATGCAGGCGCTGAGGCTCGGCCGGATCGGGCTGCCTGATAGTTCTCGGCTTCACGCTCGCGATCTTCGAGATCGCCGGCGGCGCTGGATGGGGCATCGTAGTAGTACTCGGTTGGCTTCCGTCGCCGAGAGCTCGCCACGGCCACCTGAGCAGACCTTCGATCATCCTGGTAGGACACGGATCGTCGGTGATCTCGTAGGCTACGGGCTCTCTCTGGCAACGGGGCGTCCCTTGAAACTCGATGATGGGCGCGGTCTTGAACCACCGGCAAGGCAGCTGCAAGTTCCGACATGTCCAAATCTCGGTCCATGGCTCGCTCTCTGTCGATGCCTCGCTCTCTGTCGATGCCTCGCTCTCTGTCGATGCCTCGCTCTCTGTCGATGCCTCGCTCTCTGTCGATGCCTCGCTCTCTGTCAATGCCTCTGTCCCTGTCGATGCCTCGCTCTCTGTCCATGCCTCGTTCTCTGTCAATGGCTCGTTCTCTATCCATGCCCCTGGATGGGAGACGTTGAGATGGGACAATACCCGAAGAGGTATGCATCTTCCGCGGTAGGTCTGGCCGCTCTGGTCGCTTCGCCTGGTGGATCTGTGGCCTGGGCTTGGGCTTAGCTCCTGGCGGTGGCATCCGATAGTAGTCTTCATCCTGTTCCTGTTGTCTTGGAGGAGGACGGTCACGGACAACATCTCGCGAGGAATAGTGGTCCATGGGTGGATCTTCATCAAACCATGGCGAATACGCCCCAGAGTCCATGGGTGGGTTGGGGGCAGTATAGATCGATGAGGACCGACGGCGTGACGGTTCCCGGGACAGGGACCGCTCTCGTGGATACTCCGATGGGAGGTAGTCCGAGGCCGATGGGGCATAGTAAGAGGATTGCGTGTATGGAGATGACGAGTATGGTTGCATGTATGCCGAGCTGGCTGGTGGAGGGCCATGATCGTATCCGTGCTGAGAGTACATCGGAGATGCCATTCCAGAACCCATTCCATGTGGCATACCGTGGAAACTCATGGGTCGTCCGTTGGAATGATAGGTGTGATACGAATTGGAGCGGCTGGGTCGACCAGGGTGACTGACATGAATGTTCTCTATGGCGCCGGGGGCATAACGAGGATTGTGCGGGGACGATGAGTATTCTGGGATGGGTGGGCGTGGCTGGGCGTAGTAGGAGTAGTCGTTCTGTCGGTGGTCAATCGGGGTTGATTGATGGTACTGAGTACCGTAGTCGTAATAATTGTCGTGATATTGGATATGGGCAGATTCTCGTCGACGAGACTTGGACGACGACCGGGGCACGTGAGCGTGATGGGCAGCGCCCGGATAGGCACCAACCATCATCTCTTCGCGCGGGGGTCGAGATCGTTCTTTGTCCTTGCGTTCTCTGGTTGAACTTTTCCTGGCGAGGTCGTTACGCTTGGAAGTGTCCAGCTTAAGAGGGATCGGGGGGCTTTTTCCGCCCGACGGCGCAGATTGGGTGCTATTAACCGTAGCGGCGGTGCGACTAGAATAGCCTGAGTCACTGGCACCGTCGATCAGCGGCTCCTGGAATCTTTCCAACCTGGAGGATAATTTGGCAGCTGTATTGGCAGCAATAATGGCCGAAAGTCTGGTGTCGGGTAGGGTGTGTTGTTGTTCTTCGTCGTAATCTTCGACGCAGGCAGGCCGGGGGCCCTTACCGGCCATTATGTGGGCTGCAAGGCGATCGGGTGTCTAGCGAAAAAAAAATTAAAAAAACAGGGTTGGTCCCGTTTCCGACAAGGGCGACGTGGGTGGCTCCCACAGGGCTCCAGCGATATTCAACTTACAGCAAGCCACTGCTCCCTTGACGATGAGTCAGAATGTATATTGTTCTTCCCCCCTCTCGACCCCGTAGATCTGACCAAATGGATCCGTTTTTTCCCTTTCTCTTCTCGCCAGTGCCCAACCCAAGTGGGCCACTCAAACAAGTAAGCGGACCTGCCGATCGCAGCGGGCGATGGCAGGCGACGGGCGACGGGTTCTGTCAAGCGGAGGGAGCAAGATGGTACTTTTCAAATCGCAACGTCTCCATCGAAGTGGGATGTAAGGCTAAGAGTTGGGCGGACGCGTTGGGTCAAAGGAAGAAGGAAGAAAATAGAAAATGACCTCTCTGGCAGCCGATGAGTGGTTGAAGGAACTGCAGCTGCAGAGGTTGGGTTGAGAATTTAGGATCCTCTGCCTGACGGTCTTAGAACCCAGTGGGGAGAGTGGAGTCGATGGGCAGCGATGAAATAACAACGAAGTGAGGGGTGATTTGATTGAGATCTCAAGGGGAAAGAAGGACGGAGAGAGGGAAAGATATTTAGAAAAGGAGAGGACTCAGAGGAGTATAGAGACCATAAAGAGAACGAGCAGGAAGAGGAATAACCCGAAGGTACAGGTACAGGACCACAGGATTAGAAAAAAAAAAAAAAAAAAGTTTCACGAAGAGGCTCTCGGTACCCAACACAAAAGAAAAAAAAGAAGAAAGTGGGGGATAGCGTCATCAGTGTTTTATATTTATATTTGTATTTGTATTTATCTATTTACATGTATTTAGATCAGAGAATCAGTAGAATATTTAGAATATTTAGAATAATTACTATATTGTAGTATATTGTATCTTGTACAATACTTAAATAGAATATGTTGTTTCCGATCCATGGATTCTAATTATTTATTGTTTGGTACTTTTAAGCTCGGGACCCGCTGGAGGGGAAATCCTTGGTTTGACTGCTGGGGATCCATGGTTGACCTGTCCCTTGACTTTTCTTATCTTTATTTACTTTATTTACTTTATTTCCTTCCTTCCCTTTTCTTTTCCCATCCCGTGTTCTGCATTTTCGTGTGTCGCATTCCTCATTCCTATTTCTCCCTAATTGCATCCCACACCCAACGCCCAACCGGCTTTGCGGCCCAATGATCGCCTCCGCCGTAAAGGTTCTTCCTTGTCAATCCAAAAGGATCCTGTTCCTGTCGGCTATGGCTCGGTTCTCGGAAAATCTAGATTCTCCTTCGCTCCGATTGTTATTGTTTGATTCTCTTTTCGTCGCATTGGTCAATGCAGGCCTCAAATACAATGACAATGTATCCGGTACACGGGGAAATGTCGGTGGGGATGACACTGCAAGCCGGCAGCTCACGACTAGGTAACTACGGCTAGTCCACGTTCTCTTATATTAGGTAGGCTGTAGGCAGACACCTGTATGTGTCCCGATACAATCGCCACCGTGGAATGACTCAATTTACTTCTACCATAGAAACCACAGATGTCAAGCACAAGAAGAGGGACGAGCGCTGCATGGCATTAGCATATAGTCAGAGCCCCTCCATGTGGCAGGATATCTTTGGACGTTGTCTCTTCTCCGCCTGCATACTTCTTATTCATGACGCACACTGGAGGGAAACCTATGAAAATCTGCTATCGGTTCAACGATATGGACTAAAGTTTTGAAGTACTCTATACATGGTGCACTATATCGACCTAGTGATGAAATAATTGGTCGAAACCTTCTCTCACTAGGCAGAACTGGCCAGATCGGTATGACATGCAGCACGGACGGTCTATCATTGCCCTTATGGATTCTCACCCTTGCATCTTAGATTAAGAGGGTTGAGGAATGTTTACTCCGCACGTGTGGGAATGACAACACTACAAGGTTAGAGCTCGCAACAACCAATTTAAACTATACGTAGCCGATAGCATCCAATATATCTTGGACCCTGGTCATGTATCCCGGGCTGATCAAAATCCTATTAGACTGGGGTGGATATCTTCAGCTTAAGCGGCTGAAAGATCGAACCAGGAAAAGGGCTCCGCTCCAGATATAACTCAGGATCTCCATGCGGCTCCAGTGTTGTCTTCACCAATATAGACCGGGAGTACTAAGAACATGCTGTGCACCACAAGAAATATCTGAATACTTGGACATGGAAAAACAGCGAACAAGCTTTGCTCGCATATCAATTCATGGTGTGATCACGTTGACATCTGCCGCCAGTGATTCATTGACTCACCTAGGGGAACTCAAACATGGTCAAGGGAGCCACCCCCTTGCTTCATTCTGCGCGATGGCATCAGCTCCCCGAGGACGAGATCTTCACCGCTCTTTCATGATTACTGATAAACGGTGCTTCGACGATGAAGATGAGGGGAAATCAGTCTCATTCCAACTCTATTCCTTTGTCGGTTCGAGAGACTTCTCTCGCGGCTTCAGAAACATTATAGAAGGTTCTTGTACATGGTACATCGGTATACGGAGTACATGACTTGCATATTGCGTTGCGCATCACCCCGTTTTCCTTTGTAGATGACATGATTCGTCAGCTCCAGATAGGCTTTTTTTCATGACGACTTAGGCTTCGGCACGCGATGTAAGTAGGATTATCTGATGTGATACGAAAGCCAGCAGCCATGTGAGTCAAGTGTCCCCGTGGCTATACTTCAAGCCCGGCGTACTATCAAGGTGCTACGGAATATACAACAGCTTGCTCGATTGGGGACCTCTTTAGGTTCTCGGGAGATTGGTGGCTGCCATTCCGGATGAAGTTTCCGAACCTTGTCCAGGTGGAAGCAAATCCATCTTCTATCAATTACGTCCACTCAAACTAATTAATATTGACAGTACCCATAGCCTAGTCGAACACAGAGTATCTCCAAGGCTGCTCGACTCGCTCGGCCTCCTAACTCATACGATTATATCACTTCAGTGCCCCGAATAAGACACTGATCCGTATGCATCGACAATCGGCACCACAAGTAATTTCGCTCAGAAAGCTCATTGACCATCATACCATGGAGTACATAAACCTATTCCAGATCCCAAGCGAATGAGTGATTATCCTGACAACAAAATAAGCTTCTGAAAGAAGTGCATCAGGATACCTGGTAATCGATGCAGTAAAACACATATTTCCAAAACGGAAACTTCTGCGTGACCATAAACCCTCCGACACTCAAAAGGCTATTTGGATGTGACAGGTGCCAAGGGGATTACAAAGGTTGGGAATATCGATGTTATGAGGACCACTAGGGATCCAGCTGCCACAAGGAGGAATATCCACATCATTCAAGTCAAGAAGGCTCCTGCTGTATGTGGCAGGAAAGTAACGGGTACGTACAGAGGTAGGGAAGTCTAATGAGAAATATCCAATGAGAAAGCTTGAGACCAATAGTGTCACACCAATTTGCCCGTTTGCTTGCTAGCAGTTGACAAACGCGTTGAAATGAACTGTTGAGATCATGTTCTTTTCTATGCTTGTTTTTTATCTTCTGATTTGATAGTCATGACACAAGTGGATTACATTCTTCCAAAGAGTCAATTTTATTGAGCGAGTCTTACATCAGTAATTCAGCCCATAATAAGGTCATATTTGAATCGGGTACTTGATCTCTGGAGTAATACGGCTTCGCACCTCCTAGACCAAACGAAAACTAGCTGCAGAATGCCATAGAACAGCTGCACCAACAGGGCAAATGGCTACTGGAATGCAATTTTGGAAATGAGCTCACATACAGCGATATGTCTGTTGCTAGAAGGCAATTGGCGCTTTACAGTAGTCCTTTTGGTCTGCTCGTCAAGGACAATGTTAATAGTAGCGGAGGAAACTAACCCTGATTTTAATTGAATCCGACCCCTGGCCGCTCTGCATCCTTACCGAAACCGTTCATCAAATTACGTGGGTAACAGCAGCTTCAATGCGATAGCAATCATCTTCGATACATCAGGCACCGCTCAGAAGTAATTGGTCACGTTTAGAAGTGCAAGCGTGTCTATAAATGCCAGCTTTTCTCTCATCTCTTTCTCTTTCACCTCGCTATTCCCCTCTAACCTCACTTACCTTCCATTGATTCCACATTTGGCACTCTTTTACTAGGTATCCCTAGTCTGCCATCCTCTACCATTCTACTTTGGATTTTTTTTTACTTGTCCTGATCTTCACCTCTGGAATTGCGGACAGGGAGCCAATTTTCGCATGATAGAACTTTCCGTCATATGATCGGCCAAGTCGTGGAGTTCATGGTAAACAAGCAGGCTCTATATGGGTTCCATTCAACATATACGGAACAATCGTTCTTCGATACGTCTGGGCTAACGGAGGGTGGGTTATCGAGCACTCACCAACCTTCCGTTAGCCCAAACGTATCGAAGCATGGCTGTTTCCCGTATACGTTGAATGGAATGCGTATGAGACCCGCTTATCGACCATGTATTCTACGACTTGGCCGATCGTACGACGGAAAGTTCTATCATCCGAAAATTTGCTCCGTTCTTCCTTGCCCCTCCTCTACTCTCTATCTTAGTATTTGAGTTGAAATGCATTCTTTTCGTTGAAAGAACAGAAATTGTCACCCTGCTGCGGTCGTTGGGGAGAGGACTGTGAGATTGACTTCAATGAGAAACACATGTAAAACTACAATGGCGTTGATGAACGGCTATAATCTTAGGATGGATTGAGATATAGATACTCTGTACACTGTGCCACATTAGTTCCAGTAAGCTTTAAAAGGAGCATGAAAATGCATATTCCATACGCAATGACATCGCCGTAGGACTTGATAAATGATTGATTCAGCAGAGCTATAGTAGTCGAACTCATTCCCGGTAGAGTATTGTCTTTCGTAAAGGCTCTTCTAACATGTTCCTCTGCAGAGTGTATTCGCTGACTTCGTCTCGTTTGAGTTTGCCCAGGTAGCTTGAATGACTACGACTAGTTTCTTCTCCAGGTCCTCCAAGTTGGAAAAACCAGAACTGACAGTATCCAAGATAAATCCAGCTGGGTTAGCTTACGCAGGGATTAGATAGCCAATGCCACTGAAGTAGCTCTCTATAGCCGTACGAGGTCACCCGCTGGAAATTGCGTAAGTCCATTTGTGCGCTGTTCACAGAGTTCTCCCCGACAAACTTCGCACCGGCTGATGCGATACGTCGAGCAAGCACGTTGAGGGGTGTTGTCTTGTCGCAGCCTGACGTGCCCATTAGAGCAACGAGCTCCCCTGTAGAACCAGCATCAATATGCTAGTTCTGATATGGGGTATGGACAAGGATCTAACCCATGTTACACATCACCACTTGATATCAAATCACGGGACCTTTTTGTTTCACGATCCTTGACGGTAACCGTTAAACCCTGCCATGAGAAATTCTGAACGGTCTGGTTCATCAAGGAGTGACCAGTGTTATTGCGTTCCAGGTCCAGGGTGCTGGGTGCGTTCAAGGGTGAGGGATCGCCTGTGCTGCAGGATAATGTAGACGGTTCACGGCCGATACGAGAGAATTGGAATCTAACCTAACTCATGTCCAGGTTCGCGGGCCGAAGTTTTATAATTTTACATATACCCATAATCTGAGTATCTAAACCCATAGACTTACAAGCCCCTGTCTAGTGTCGAGACAAAATCCTTGTTACATGTCCAAGTTGGTCCCCGATTTAAGGCTGAATATAGGGCTCAACCTTGGAACTCAAGCCCAACCTGACATAAGATCTCGATAGTCCCCGATCAGGGGAGACCCGTCCTCTAATGGATAATGGGATTGGTAGAGCCATGAGCCTAGATAAAATTCACAAACAATAGCGTGTGTGCCATGTGGCAGTGCGTGGTATAATGTGTGGACGGATTCCAGACCCAACCACGACCCCGTCGGGGATCGCCCACATTTCTTCTTAATGATACTGTATTCAGAAAAGCAAAGAAAGAATAGAAAAGAAGAAAGGTAATCTGAGAATGACATAGGTAAAAGCAGAGGCATAATGCCATTTTTATTCGTCCCGCTCTTGGCGCCCAATGCAACTAAATTAAAATCAAGGTATACCAGAGACAACAGTCTTAGAAATACTGAGTAAAACGCCACACAGAAAAGTGAGCAAAATCGACCGAATAAGCCGAATTTACATACTAGAACAGATGAGTCAGTGATTGCTTCTTCAACAAGGGTGGGAAAGACTAACCGCTGAACAGGGCTGAGACCGAGAACCCGCATGCCGTTGTTCAGAACTTGGCGGGCTGAGGCATACAACGCCATACGCGCCTGCTTGACATCTGGCTCGCTACCGATCACCTTGAGCACATCGTAGCTGGAGCTCAACATGTGTGTCATCTTGAACAGGTAGCTGAGGACAGTGATGGGCTCAAGAGTCTTGGCAGTCTGGAGGAGTACGTCGGGCCATTGGGCCAGCAGGCGGATCAAGTCGACAGCATGCTGCTCGGTCAAAAGATCAAAGTTGGCGTTAACTAGCTCATTAACATCCAACTCGGACTTGCGGGTCATCGAGCACAGACGAGCGTGAGCGTATTGCAGGTATGGGCCGGTGTCACCCTCGAAGGATGTCATGGCATCCAGGTTGAACTCGTAGCCGTTAACGCTGAAAGGAAACGTACGATTAGTAAACGGATATACGGGAGTAGGCGCGAAAGAAAAACACTGTACATACCGCTTGCCAGTCATGTCTTGCACCATAACGGAGGTGATACCCAGGATATCGGCAGTCTTCACAGGATCCTCGACCTGTGCATACTTGACTTCATTCTTCTTCATGACCTCGTGCATCTTGTCACCTACATCGCGCAGGATGTCATCCAAGAATTTGACGGTACCCTTACGGGTGCTCATACCACGGACCATACCGAAGTTAATGTGCTGGCAACGGGAGGCCAGGTCCTTGTGGCCCATAAGTTCGGTGACCTTGAAGAGCTGAGCCAAGTGGAGATCCTGCTGAGCGGCAACAACGTAGATCATCTTGTCAAAGTGGTACTCGTTATCACGCTCAGTGATGGCACCGATGTCGCGGGTCAGGTAGAGAGGAGTGCCATCCTTGCGGACAATAATAGCCTTGCCCAGCTTCTTGGCACCGTGCTTGGTGAAGTCCACAATAACAGCACCCTCAGACTTCTCGGAAACACCGGCCTCCTCCATAACTTTGTATGCGTCGGTCATGCTCTCAGACTTGATCTGAGATTCACCGGAGTAAACATCGAAGTCAATATTGAGACGAGCGTAGGTCTGCTTGTACTTCTCAATGCTGAGATCGCGGAACCTGCGCCAGAGAGCGAGAGCCTCCGGGTCACCGTCCTCCATACTCTTAAAGTAGCGGCGGGCCTTCTCATCCTCGCTCACATCCACAAGCTTGGCAAGCTGTGCCTCGAGCTCGGCAACGGCCTCGTTCTTCTCCTTCTTTGTCTTGATCTGTTCCTTCAGCTCCTTGATAGGTCCCTCCTGATCACTGACCTGACGGTTGATCTTGACGTAGACATCGAACAGGTGGTTGATAGGGTCCTTGATAAGAGCTTCTTCGTCGCCAAACTCCTTGAAGCCGTTGGCCAACAGACCATACTGCTTACCCCAGTCACCCAGGTAGTTCATTTTGATCACGTTCCACCCCATAACAGTGTAGATATTGGCGAGGAAACCGCCGATGATGGTACTGCGCAGATGACCGGCGTGGAAGGGCTTGGCGATGTTGGGGGATGAGAACTCGATGATGATCTTCTTCTGGCCCTTGGAGGGGTCGGAGGGGTCCTTCAGACCCTGATTACCATTTGTTCCATAGGCGGCCTTCTCCTTCAGGATACGGCCAAGAACATTGTTGGTCAATGGCTGACGTTTGCAGAAGAACTGGATGTGAGGACCAAGCTGAGTTGGAGGGTGAATAAGGTCGGAGGCGGGGAACTTGGCGACAAGATCCCTGGCAAGTTCCACGGGGTTTTGCTTGATCTGAAGAGAAGCCACCTAATGGTACGCAATAAGACATTGTTAGTCCAAGGCCTCATGATCATGCGGAACATGCGAATTGCGCCCAGGATATGCCGCCACATACCGGCAATGAAAGATCACCCTTGTCCAAAGTACTAGTCCAGGCAATCCGCGGGTAGATCTTCTGAGAATCGATACCAGCGGCTTTGCCCAACTCCTCCGCGATGTGCTGGCGGTAGATATCCATCGGGTTCAGTGTCGGGAAGCAGCCGGCAAATTGAGACTTCTGTGCCGTGGATTGGAGCGACAGAGCCTCAACAGAGGCAGGAAGAGAAGCTGCGGACATGATTGAGAATCTTCGTGTACCGAATGCG